TCAGACTTTGAGCAAGAAAGTATCAAATCTTTCATTTATTTGCAAATTAATCATACACAGACAATATCTGTATTGCTATGGAATTTGAATTTAAATTTGCCTCACATTCTACATAGTGTAGCATTGTGTTAACATAAGACTGCATAATTCTCTAAAAGTTTGTCTGAACATGCAAAGTATTCCAATTTTAAAGTAGGATGAGTTTGGAGTAGAGAATGACTTATAATGGTCTATCTACCTAGATTTATTTTAGAATAGCGTCAAGTTAGCAGGCTGCTTTAAGGTGCAAAAAAGCCCTATCAATGAGAATGGATTGCATTACTGAGAGATGGGCGACAAAGCTAACCATCTTTCCAAAAGCAATTCTTGTCTGTTAGGTGAGACATTCTGCAAAGTAGTTGTAATTTGTCTAAAAAGTCTATTTGCTTGATCAGTGTTAGTCAAGGAACAGTTAATAGGATGGTTATAAAAAGATTCAATTTAATACGGCATTCATAAATAGTAAAAATTATATGTTCACAACAGTAAAAGCAAATGTTCATCCTTTGGCTGCTTCAGTAGTAAGTGTTTTGACTACCTGATGGGGTTTGTAATAATTCATTAAAAGACACAAGATACAGTGAGCTTCAGACTTCTGTCTGTTGTCTGATACACCCGTTTCCAAGATCTCAGTGAGCCTGTCAGTTTCATCTGTATGTATTAAAGATAACAGGAGTAGCTTTATTTTTGCAGCATCAAGGATCAGTTAGCTAATGCAAGTAAACTGCTGTGAGCCAAAATGCATTTTTACTTTGATTACTTCAGACTTTTGATGTATTTTGGTATGTAGAATCATAGAAAAGTGGTTTGGAAGGGGCCTCCAGAGATCATCCAGTCCAACTTTCTTTTGAGAGCACAGCCTTAGACTAGGTTATCCAGGGTCCTGTCAAACTAAGGAATCATTTCCAGCAAGGGAGATTCTATCACTTCTTTGGGCAACCTACCCCAACATTTAATTCTTCCCACAGTGACGAGTGTTTTTCTTATATCCAGACAGGATCTTCCATGAAACGACTTGTGTCTCTTGCTTTATTTCCTCCCACCATCCATCCTCATGAAAGCTGTACCTCCAGCTTCTCTGTAACTACATTTGAGGTACTGAAAGAACATCAAATGCATTCTGAACCTCCTCTTTCTGAAGCATCTCTTCCGTAACTGTGGTCGATCAATTCTCTCATCCCCTTTTTGTTCTTCCCAGTCATTCTTTGTTTCTAGTGTCTGTAATTCTCTGATTCCTTGCCTATGTATTTGATAAAGGAAAAAAATGCTTTATGGGTGGTTTGGGAATAATTTAAATGTAAAAATCACAATTTAATATTCAATGTAAAGATGTTGAAGTGGTTTGTCTTCCATAAACTTTTCTACTTCTGAGTTTTAAACCTGAGATCTGTATTATATGTATATAAATCTATAGAAACGGTTACAGGAAACAAACAAAAATACATTAAAGACAAGAAGCAAATACATCCAATCCCTTGAAATTCGAATGTGGGTATAAAAGAAACAGAAAATCTTGGAGCAGGATATTGTTGCAACAGAAATTGTGGAGGTAGGAAGAGTTTACCATCTGGCAAGGCCCTCAGACCAGATGGATCCACTAATGACTTTTGCAAAGCATTTCATCAGACTCTGTTGGAACACATGACTGGCATCTTTAATTATCCTAATTTAACAGGGTTCCAGCCCTGGATGCTAGATTTTGTAATCATTGATCTTGGAAGTGAAGAAAAGGAAAATGTTCCCCAAAATCTCTTTTTCCTTACAGGTCATTTTATTAATAAGGTATAATGTTAAGATACTACATAAAGTTTATTGATTCTTCTTAATTGGATTGTTTGGTTAAAAAAATACCTATTATGGTGCTTTTGTGAAAAATCTCTTTTTGCAAACACATCAGAGTGCTTTGGGAATTCAGTTAGCTTTATGCATCCACAAAAGCATTCAGCTGCTCAGAGGAGCAGACTGCCAGAACACTCCTCGTGTTCTTTACCTTCTCTGGGAGGAGGGGAACATGCACGTCCCAAGCAGTCATCTCTGCCTTGTACCCTACACGTGCATCTGCTCCTGTTACTGTTCCCACAGACAAAAGGTTGAGATGTGTGCGGAAGTGACTGCCGCCACCGGGCAGGTGTACCAGCAGCAGTAACTGGTACTCTTGCCTTGCCTATATTCTGCCTTAGCTTTTTGTGTAGGGTGGAAGAACTGCCCATAAAGCAAGACTAAGTCAACTTCCTCTTCACACAAACCTGGAAAGTAGGGAGAATTTTTCGTGTGAAATTTGTTCTGTGCACCCTGCTTAGGTCCTGTGGGAGGGACTATGCCCTGGTCTGTGAGGGCACTGCCCGTGCTGCAGTCACTCTGATTTACACTAATGCATCTCAAACAGGTATCTGCAGGCCTATTGCCCGTGGCTTGCAGAAAACTGTCTGGTTGTGTAATAAAGCCTAGTCTGTTCCTAGCTCTTCTGCCTGTTGGAAAGAACAGGAAATAATTCCTTAACAGTGTTTTTCTATACCATAATCGGCAGTTGTTTAAATACATAATCCGTTCTAATCATACTTTTATCTTGCACTAATTATCATAGTATTTCAGTACTTTCCAGTGGTGCAAATAGTGATGTGGCTTCACTAAAAATGCTTTAAATATAAGATAGGATGTTTGCTTAGAAAAGTGGAAGAAATGCACCTGTCAGTTGGAAACAAAGGAGTGAGGTTTATACTCAATTTTAAAAGGTGTAGAAGGGCACAGAACCTGTGCCAGTAGGAAATCTTATGATCCGGAGGTCAGAAGAGAAAATAAATTAAAATAGTTGCACATACCGGTTTTGTATTTTAATTTGCAACAAACGTGGAATTCATATATACAGTTACTCAGTCACCAAGATTTGTTCTTTAAATTAGGCTCCATTTCCTTACTCCTTAATCCACTGTTCTGTCTGCCAAAAAAGAACGCTTGGTTATCTAACAGCCAGACTGAACGTAGGCAGCTGTAGTGCATTGTCAAGGCTGTGAGCGGGAAAGGAATGTCCTTAGCAGTTCCGAAAAATCAGGCTGTGTATTTAGGTGCCAAAAGCTGATATTGGGTCCTAATTTTAGATGCACCATTAGTTGACTCCATGCATCAAAAAGAATAAAGCAAATAACAGATATGTTTGGTACGGACGTATTTAGGTTGTAGGGAATGTGTTGTTGTTCATATCCAGGAACAGAAATACCAAGCGTAAGATAGGAAGTTTTAGTATGTGGAAGCCAAACTGTACAAACCAGTGGTAGATGTAATTAAGCTGAAATTCTGTTCTAACAGTGAGATAGATAAGTTCAATTAATTTTTCCATCTGGTTTTTATTTTTATCATTGAAGAAAAGTAATCTAACTGAATTCTAAGTATCAGAACTTAAATATGGTGGAGTCATCCTTTATTCCCCTAGTGAACTAGTTGACACAGTGAAATGTAGAATCCAAGCCTAAGAAGTAAAGGAGAAATGCACAAGTGCAGGAGAAGATAAAATAGTTTTATTGGACATTATGCTATACGTGTACTTTTTGCATGAATTGTTCTTTAACATGAAAAATTGAGTACGTACGTTTTTGAAACATCCTTTTTTTGTTTTGTTTTTAAAAGAATCTTCTCCATAATTAGTATTATCTACTACTGGAATAGAAAAAAAATAGCTGCCCTAAGCCATCTGTTGAATGCCAATTTATTAATAGAATATTTTTTCGTAATTCCATCTGTAGCTCACATATTCAGACATTGTTCTAATTTGTTTCCTGAATAACAGTGTGAAACTGTCTATGTATTCCTATTACCTTAGGGAGGGTTTTTTATTATTAACATCCCCAGGCTAGATTTTCAAACTAGATCCTTCGGGCTTTGCCAAAGAGAATATCTTAAGGGTTGAAGGATAGCTTGACAATAGCTCAGAATAATTGCCACGAGTAGTTTCTGCTACTGTGTCACTACTGATAGTCTGCATTACTCTTTTGTTAATGTGGGGTGAAGTTTGCTAAATGGTGGCCTTCTGTCTTTTCATGTTACAATGAAAATCTGTTGTGTGTGACAAGAAATATATATATATTTCTTTTTTACATGATGTTACTACGTGGTTCCAGAATGTTTGACATCTAAGAGAAATGCTCCCAGCTCAAGATGGAAACCATCCCAGGAGGTCTTTAAAAGACGTTTAGATGTTGAACTTAGCGATATGGTTTAGTGGAGGACTTCTTAGTGTTAGGTCAGAGGTTGAACTCGATGATCTTGAGGTCTCTTCCAACCTAGACAATTCTGTGATTCTGTGAAATAAATATTGAAGTTCACAATTAGGCATGGGAATGAGAAAGGTACTGTGGGCTGCCTGGTGGCAGAAGTGCCCTCTCATATTCACCTGGAACTTCCTGTGCTTCAGTTTGTGCCCGTTTCCTCTCAATAGAACAAATATTGTTCTTCAAATACAGGAGAAAGTTTATTTTTGTATCCTCTAAGTCCATTTTTAAACTTCTAATTATGAGAGGATTTCTTGCATGTAAATTGTGAAAAATGTTATTTATTCAGCTGGTGATCCGTATTTCAGAATATTTAAGCTGATGTGTAGAAGTGGAATAAATTTTTGAAAATCACCCACTGACTTCATAAAGCCATGAAAGACTAAGATAAAAACCCATGTAAAAAATTTCTGGTTACATTTTCCTTAAAATGTGTAGTTAAAACATTATTGCATGATAAATTGTATTCTGCAGTCACCAAGTCAATCTCAAACATATTATTTTAAGATATAAGTAGATAATGGGATAGACTGAGTTTTGAAGACAGTTGATATGATAATTGAATATATTTATATAATAAATCAAAAGGGGATCGTTTTTGAGAACTATGAAAAATTAAGTTTTAGTTTCATTTTTGCATTTTATACTGTTTTACTGATTGAACAAGTGTATTGTAACTTAAATTGTATTCTGTTTCAGCCTTGCAGTTCATCCAGATAAAACTTTAGTAGCTACAGGGCAGGTTGGAAAGGACCCTTACATCTGCATCTGGGATTCCTACCGTGTACAGACTGTTTCTGTTCTTAAGGATGCACACACACATGGAGTCGCCTGCTTAGCTTTTGATTCAGATGGCCAGGTTTGTATATCTTCTTTCTCTGTGCTTTTAATTTAGTTTGATTTCTGATTCCAGGAGATAATGCACATATTAGTATTGTATGTGTAGGTAGCTGCGTTGCTGTAGTACTGAAATTCCTATTGTGACTAATTTTTTTAATGCAAGGACTGCAAATATAGTTCTTTCAAAGACCAAAACCCTCAACCTAGAATTCAACTCAAGTAGATGCATTGGTTGTTGGACAAATACCTGTACAAGAAATGGCCCTACCTGGCTCACATGTAATAGCTTCACCACATACTTAGCACCTACTGTTTAAAGAGACCAGTTCCTGGCAGAGTCTTTACAATCCTGCAGTTTTTTTGGCAGAGGGACTCCAGTAATCTCACTGCTAAGAGTCTCATTGGCTATGATACACAGTAAATTTAATTTAAAAAGGGGGCTAGAACACAGAGTGTATAGTTTTGTACACTATTATATGATTATATGATATTTTTAGACAATATTAATATGAGTAAATGGTGGGCTATTCACAGCTAAGCGCATTGAATTTTTTCCCTGGAGGAGAGCTAGTAAAAAACATTAGATCTATTTTCTTCCTTCTTCAGTCACAATTTATATAAAAGTGAGAAATACTTCATACTTACTTCATATTCATAGTTGTCTATAAAATTAACAGTGCAATTTTGTCATTACTGATGTCCAGGTTTCTGGTGTAAAACTGAGGTAGTAGTTTATAATTGGTTGCCGAAATATTTTTAGGAATGCTTAGATTAGCTGATTCCCGGATTCTTGCACAGATCATCCTTGATTTTTCTGCTTGCTTGCATACATCAGAATTAAAACTGAAAAGGGCAGATTTGCCTTTAAATGTTTTTCTTAAAATCATGTTGTAGACAGTTAGATGTCTACAGAGAAGCATTTTGCTATCATGTGCCTAATTACTCTTCCATTGACCACACAGTGGTTTTATTTCTCTTTGGATTGTATTTCTTCATTAGAAATTAGAAGTAAGTTTCTATTTTAAGCCTAGTTTTCAACCATCTTCCTCCATTTTTTTTTTAAAGTAAAGCCATTTCTTCTGAAATCTCATGTGTCGATTCTAATTAAAGAAAAAGGTGTTCCTGGGAAGTGTGGAATCAAAAATGAAGTGAGAAAACCCCCAAATCAACAGAAGAAAATTTCAAATGCTATAATATTTTAAAGATATTGTTTTTTCAAAAATATGTTATTAAAATTTTCTCTTATGTTTTACTTTCTGAGACAGGTGAGTAAACTTTTTAAAAAACCCTACTTAAACACCTGAAAAGTTAAATAGTTGGCCAAGAGCTCAGTCAGTATGAGTTAAAGTTGGAGGCTCTTCTGAAAGTCCTGCTGGGTGCCTACCTATAGTTAAGAGTTGAACTTAATTCCGTGTTGATGTTGCAAAACAGCAACATTCTTTTTCCGGAAACATTGGAGAAGTTGCAGTTTATTCTGGAAGTGAAAATTTGCATAGAATGCTTTTATATCTGGAGAAAGACCAATTCTGGAAAACATAAATATGGATGATGTATCTTGGCTTTTTGCTGCCCTTTCTGGCTTACAGAGCAAGGTGCTGTGTTGAACCAAAATTAAAGGGCTTTGAGTGAAGTCTTTAAGTATATGAAATTCAGAGTTGCTAGCAGTTCCAGTTTATTTAGTCAGCACAGTCACCTCAGGGAGCTGGCATCTTGTGGTTGGACCAAATACATATCACGCACAAGGCTCACACCTTTCCTTCAAGTGCATGCCTTTTATTCTTTTTTTATTGTATGTGTCTTAGTATCCAAGAAAGATTTGTATTTTAGCCTCAAAATACAAAACAATTCAACAGTAACATTAAGGTATAGATGCAAAAAGCTATGTATTCTTTTCTCTATTGCATCTTTCTAAACAAATACTGACTAAGGAAAAGCTCAGGTAATTCTGCTTCCCTGCCTGGGCTCGATTCCCATAAAATCAACTTGTCTTCCTCCCGCTCTGCTATGCACAAACTCTGATTGTCAAGATACATTATCCATATTTATGTTTTCCAGCATTGATCTTTCTGCAGATATAAAAGCATTCTATGCTGTGTTGAGGGCTGCGTGGCTCCAATATGAGGATTTAGCAAAGGTCCCAAAATAGTGACACTGCATTTATAGTTTAGTCACGCTAATTAGCTCCTGTTTTATGAGAAACTCTGGGGTGTTTTCAGGTATTCAAATGAATTAGTTCTGAAATATTACTTCCTGCTGGAATTCAGCTGACACTGCATGGAGACAGCTTAGGTGTCTCTGCAGTGCTTCCCTGGCATAATTAACCACAAACTGGGTAATGAAGAGTGAACAGTATTTGTTGTCTTTTTTAATATACAGAGGAGATAGATAAGCAGCTTAAATCAAAGATAGCTTATATGCTTCCTTTATTTTATGTACTTTCAATAAGACTCTGAAATTTAGATATTAATATATGAAAGTAAATTTCCTATTAATGTTATTTGTAATTAATACTGTATTTTAAAAGTCCTGATGGGAGCTGAATATCTGGCTGAACAGCTGCTATTTAAAAATAGATATTTGGGACTTTTTCTGTATAACTAGGAGATGACATTTGGTGGGAGGGAAGCTGCACATTTTTCAGATGTTTGATGAAGAGCTGTCAGTTTGTATATAATTAAAAATATATTTTGTTGAACCAGGAACAAATTAGAGTTTGAAAGTAGTAACATCTACACTTTGCAGAATTACCTACAAAGCTGATGTCTTTTATGTAGAAGTATTTCAGTAATGCTTCATATTTCAATTTCTGTTCCGAGTTGTTTTATAAGGATCCTTTTGTGTACTTTCTTTAATAATAATAATAATAAAAAAGAGTAAGGAGAGTACTGCCATAGTGCATACGTACGTTTTAAAATTCAGCATTACGTTGCAGTAGGCTTCTTTAACCAGATCTTCTAAGTCTGCATAGATTTAAAAATAATTGTTTAATTATGTGCATAAGCTACTTGGCAGATATTTTCTTCTATTGATTCTGTGAATTCTCTAATCAGGATGCTGTCAAAGTCCCTCCCAAAAGGAGTATTAAAAGTAAAAGCCTTTCAACCAAAAAGGAAACTCAGCATTTATCATTCTTCTGCCAGCAGGAGACCATCCTTGGTAAACTGAAGAGAAAAAAGAAAATATAAAATATTAGGTACTATCCTCTAGTTGTTTCACTGTCCATCTACTGTATAGTGGTAATTTCCTGACTGGGAGCTACAGTTCAGGTCTGATGTTAAAATCATGAATCTAAAAGATACTGTAAGTACTGCCATGGTTTCCATGGTGAAGAGAACAGTATAAAAAAGGTGAGAAAAAGTTGGAATCAGTGATGGTTCCATGAAAAAATATCTTGTGTTTTGATCTGTACATCCAACCCCCGGGTAGGTGTAGATTATTCAAGAGCAAATAAAACATGTTTGCTACAATACTCCTCCTTTCATGTGCCTGCAGTAGACTCTCACAAGGGTGAATTTAACAAGGCCTCAGGTATTTTTCTGTCAGTGAGAGACATATAAAGACTAGTCTGGACTTGGAGAAACTCAGAGGAAAATATACACGTGCTTTTTTCATTAATACCATATTGCTTAGTACACTTGCTTGTAAGAATTGCTTGGGTCTTGCATTACTGCAGAGTTCAGCTGTTATATTAGGTTGTAATGTATGTTATGTCAATTCCCAAGCAACCAAATGTAAAAAGGATTTATCTGATTGCTCTAAAATACAGGAACCGTAACTATTAAGGAGGCAGTGCAGGGTGCATGTGTATCTACTGCCTTTAATCTAGAGTTTTTTGGAAGTGGCCAATTTAAGGAAGATGTACACTGTTTTTACACTTTAAAATAATGTGAAAAGGTATGGAATATCTTGTCTATAATTTATTTTGCTAATGAACGATAAGTGGAGCCTTCTGTTTCTTTACAAATAATGATTTCTCTCAATTCTATAGTGGTTGGTAGCCTTAGAGCAATTAGGTTTTTTTTTTTGTTTGTTTGTTTCCTAATATAGTATTTTAAAGGAATCTTTGGTAATTGCACTTGTTTTCTTTTAACACTGGTTTTGTATTAACTCAGAAATCTCTAGACTTTAATTAATTTGCCTATTGAAAATCTGAGAAAAAAATAGCGGATATTTAATGGAAGGAAACGTACAAAACAGAGATTCAGTTTGCAAGTTATCTTCTTAAAGCAAATCTTCAAGGAGAAGATCTGGTCCTTGTCATATCTGAAACATATGCCCATTTGGATCAGATGATTCATCTGCTCATCTTTGAGGCCAAAATAAGGTTTCATTTACTGCATGTTCTTGAAGTGCAGGCTTTCCTATAACAGAGCAGAATGCTTAGGAGCTTTAGTTGGACTCTTCAGTCTTTATGATAAGACATTTGTGGATGGGACAATGAGAAGAGTAAGGGACAGGCGGTATTGATGCAACAGATGTAACTTTTTAAAAAGTGTTACTGAACTAGAAGATTGTTTCCCATGAAAAAAGTCTCTCAGACACTTCCTGCAGTGCAAGTTACTCATGTGTAACCATTATATATCCCTATGCAGCATATGTTGGTTGGCATCATATCCAGTATGTACAGTTGCAGTACGTTTGGCACTAATTTAGTCTTCACATCACAATGTATCTTCACAGATCACAGCAGTCTCTGCTCCCATCAGTCATGGAATCATAAACTGATAGAACTGTTTGGATTGGAAGGGACCTTAAAAATCATCTGATTCCAACTCTGCTGCCATGGGCAGGGACACCTCCCACTACACCAGGTTGCTCAAAGCCCCATCCAACCTGGCCTTGAACACTTCCAGGATGTCAAAGATCTCCCACCTAATAGGAAACTCTGCTGGAAATCATGTAAAGTTGGGCATAATGAGCACAATCACTGGAAGGTTATCCAATAAAAACTAGGTTATGTGGTTGTTAAAAGTATATCCAATTCAGATTCTAAACCTCAGCAAAACAAGTATAATGAAGAAAAGTGTATTTGGGATAGTGAGATCTTGTATTTCTATAATTCACTATTATTATCAGGTTAATAAATCAAAATGCTAGTGTTGTTCACCTCAAATGAGTACTTCAATTCTTTCATGATAAGTTTTATTTGAGACACTGGTAACATGGAATTAATTACCTGACTCTAGACAAGATAAGACATTTCAGTGCTTTCTCCAGTGAGCAAGTGGTTAACGAGAATATCTTGATGGTGCCTTTAACAATATAGTTCAAATGCAAGGCAAATGGGAAGATACATTTGTACACACAATAACTTGAAGTACAGTAAACTGATTTTTGTGTTGATTCTCTCTTAACTAGATTATTATTATTGTTTTTCCTTAGCGTTTAGCTTCAGTGGGACTGGATGCCAAAAATACAGTGTGTATTTGGGACTGGAAGAGAGGAAAACTACTGGCAACAGCTACAGGCCATTCAGACAGGGTAATTGTATAAAAGGTTTATTGAATCTTGTCTGGGAGTTACAAAAGTGTTTTAAATTTATTTATTTATTCATTTGTTTCCATCAGGTTAATGCAGAGGTAATTCCATATATTCTACCAGTTTTTAAAATACCAAATAAGATATTTGTTTCTTCTCATTATGCCAAACAAAGCACAGTGCTAGTGAAAGAGGAACATGATGGATTCTTGAGCTGGCTGTCTAGCAAGCCTAGGGAGGAAATACTTTGCAATTATACACTGATTAGGATGATTTATAGGCCTTTATATGAGACATGAAATGCTAGCTCAGTGGATGAGGGTAATATTCTTTCTGAGTACATCAAAAAGACATTTTATCCTGAGGGAAAGCTTAATTATTTCACTTTTTATTTTTCCTTAAGATAGTTACTTATAGGTGAACTATAATTAGGATAAATACTCTTTTTCTAGCTATTAACTTCAAGTAAGGGGTCGTAATAACCTCAGTAAATAGGAGAACTGAGCAGGCCTAAGTCTAGATTATTTTTCAGGATTAAAATATCTTTAAACAAGGTTAGCATATGCAAAATAACTCCCAACCATATATAAGCACAAACATGTATATGATAAAATAAGTTCTGGACACATTCTGACAACTTTTTTTCTTAAGCAAATTATATTATAACAAGTTAGAATGTTACAATATTGAAATACTAGAATGTTTTACGACATATGAAGGAGTATTTATTTATGATAGAATATATGCAAGCAGAGCAGCCTACTAAACCCTTCCTTACAGTATACCTGTATGTACAAATCTATCCGCATCTTATGTATTATCAGATGATTCATAGAATCACAGAATTGTTTGAGTTGGAAGGAACCTTAAAGACCATTTGGTTCCAGCCCCCCTGCCATGGGCAGGGACATCTTCCACTTGAGCAGGCTGCCTGAAGCCCCATCCAGCTTGGCCTTGAGCACTTTAGAGATGGGGCATCCACAGCTTCTCTGGACAGCCTGTTCCAGTGCCTCACCGCCCTCAATCAGTAATTTATTTTTACTATGTTCACAACACAACATAATTTTTCTTAGTCTTTGTTTAAATTTATTCTTTCAGAACTGATTCACTTCCCAGTTAGGTCAGTGGAAGTTTTGCTACCACCTTGTGCTACTAACTACAGTAGGCACAAGGTCAGGTTCTGATTTAGAAGAAGACGCCAGGACAGGCAAGAAGTACTAAAATCGTAGTTTCTGTACACTTTCACAACCAGAAAAGGGAGATTTTTTATTGAAGAGGGAGTGGTAAAGAATGCATGTCTAATTAGGTCACAAATTATAATGACTTAGTCTGCCAGAGTCATACAGCATTTCTGAAAACAAAATATCTTGCTTGTATAACAGAAAATAAAATAGTACTTGAACTACCGTAAGTCATGATTTTTATAAAGAAGATAAATATTTTGTGGGAGGGCAGCACTAGAAAGCTGTTTGAAATTCTCAGATGATTTATAAGTAACAGCTGAAGAGCTGGAATTAGCAAGAAGTCCCGTTGTCTTTCTCTACAGATGTATATTTCCTGCAGTAACTAGTGATTGTGGTAACCTCATTGGTTCTCATCTCAGACACTAAAAAGTTGAATGCCACAGATGTCAAGTCTATAAATGACATGCTGTTGAAAATTTGTGCAGAAATATAAACTTGTTATTTCCAAACTTTATGTGGTATTTTTCATTTGGCATAATCCCATAGTCATAGAATACACTGTAAATTTGTTCTGATAAACTATAGAGGATCTGATGCTAATTTTTTTGATGTATGCTGTTATAAATGCAACATTAATCAAAATGAATAATGCAGTTTTATCTGTATAGATTAGTTAGATGAATTACATGTATACCTTTTGTCATGTATACATTTATACATACATATATGTATACATATTATACATACATGTATACATTTTGTCACTGGGGTCTTTCTGTAATTGGGTTAAGCTGCATATCGTACCTCACATTAAAATAATCATATCATACCTCACATTAAAATAATGAACAAAGACAAATGTACCAGTCTTTTATCCCTAAACTTGAGGAACATTTGCTCACAACATGACTCCCATCTTATTTGAGACTGTAAATATGTTTATTCAAGAATATCTTGGAGCTGGAATAGATTACTGGTGTGAAGGCAGAAATGAGGTGTGTTGACAGAACTGGGTGAGAAGGCCTTATTTGGCTTTATCATTGTTTACAAGGAGTTCCAGACTTACCTGTATGTTGTGCTTTCATTTTTAGTCGTAGATTGCAGTAGATATTATGCCTAAAAATTGGTAAAAGCAAACCGAGCCTAGATGCAATTACCATATAATGCAAAGTATCAGCTTTCTATGTTTCTTAACAGATATTTGATATTTCCTGGGATCAATATCAACCGAATAGAATTGTCAGCTGTGGAGTAAAACACATAAAGGTAATAGCTTTTGTGTTCTGTTTGTTGTTGTTTTTTTTTTGTTGTTGTTGTTTTGTTTTTTTAAAGTAAATTACAGTTGTCAAAGAAGGGCTTAGATGTAAGAGGTTTTCTATTTTTCTTTTTTTAATCTGTGAACACTGTCAAAACTTCGGTGCCAGTTTAGGCGTTCAGCAGTGACTTGACGTGCAACTTAACAAGCAAAGTGGGAAGATCATTTGGTGTAATTTTCATTATCTACTTCTAATTTTGTGGTTCTCTGCCTTCTTTCTGTCTCTGAAACCCTTCAGTGATTTCTCTTGACAAGTGTCACAAGGGGTCACTGGACAGGTATAGGATGAATTAAATCAGAAGTATGAATTGAATGAACTTCTGTTTGGCCTATCATGCTACCAGGAATTGTGGGAACACTGCAGGGAAGGTATGCAATACTTGCAGAGATGAACAGATGGAAGCACATGGATCCCACTATTTGCTCCCTCTAATTCTCCTTGTCTGGAATTGACTTAAATAACCTAGATATATAGCCTAAGTTTAGGATAAAACTTCTTGCATCTATAAAAAACTTAGAGAGAAATCCTTGTTTGCTCATACTCCCTGAAGGTTTCTGTTTTCTTCCTGCCTCATCAAAAGCATTCCTAACAGATGGCAATTATTTCACATGGCTGAGGTGGGAAGAGCTTTAACTAGAAGTTTAGAAACCGGTTAATATCTCTAGTTCTGGTTACTGAGAAGCTTGTGCCCATTAAACCACCACTGCTTTCAAACTGTGGGTGGTTTTGGCAGAAGTGATACCATCTGTTGTATTCTGCAAGCTGTCTTCCAAAACCTGTCTTTGTTTGGCACCTGTGTTGTGTTTAGAATGGCCATAATTGCCTTGAACAGGCATAATACCAGCAAAGTCAATACATATAAAGTCATGCCAAAAAAAGAAAAAAAAAGAAAAGAAAAAGAGAAGGGGGGCGGGGGGAGTTGGAATGCTTTATGATTATATGTGCACCTTCAGTGATGCTCAGGCAACAGTCTATGTAGTTGTCATTCATTATAAGCCTATGGAAATATAATAATTAACTTACTAAGAAGGAAAAGAACAGCTCTGAAGTTATTGTATCACTTTGAGAATAGGGACTAATAGACCCATTTATTCCTTTAGCATTTCAGTTCTATTGGGTCATTTGGCTGAGCAAAAGTTCAAAGTGGTGGTAAAGCCTATGTGCTAAGGCATGTCAGATTGAGCTCAGGATCCACCCTCCACCCACTTCCTAACGTTGCTACCTTCTCTGTTGCCTTTCTAGAGCTAACCAGAAGTGAGGAGAGCATATGTTTTTCTCACAGTATGAGAGCCCTAGGGGAAATATTCCCACTGCCTGCTCATAAATTGACTTATGGAAAAAAATAATTATCAGTAGAGAAGGATCTGAAATAAAAAACCTTGATACAAGGATCTCCTGAATTCAACTTTCTAGGAAACGTATAGGAGCAAGCAAAAGACAAAGACTTAAAAATTGGGTTTAAGGTCACAAAAAAGATGTAGGCATATGAAGTGAGACATAGACATTATGCACCTATGTGAGACACTTCAATATTCTTGTTCAGTCTCTCAGAGTATCTCCTTATTGTGAAATGGACCACAGAGCATAAATGCCTCATCTAGTAAAGACCTGAGCTGACGAGACCATTCAGGACTGTGCTATACCCCACACACACTTACTGTTCTGTTTCTGCATGTGTTCAGAACCTCATAGTGCTGCCTTATCTAGGATGCCTGGGGAATTTCAATACTTCTCTTACACATCTAAGTGAGATCCTCTTTACTCTTCCTTCACTGGGAAGCCTGATCCTTGAGGAGGAGCTGAGAACACAGTCTCTCCTTGATAAAATTATGTCTATTAAAAAAATTACACTCAGAACTGATTCCAAAAGTATGAGTGTGATTTCTCTAGCCCAGCCCTAACAACACCGTTGTAAGACAAAGTCTAGATTCTTTTGCTCCTTTTCTCTTCACCAGCAGTCTTATAATCTTGGCTGAACGTTACTGTCTGTGCAAGAGTGAAGCAAGTCACTATTCCACAGCTAGAAAATCCTATTACTTTGCAGTTCAGTTTCACGTACAAGCCCTCCAGCCCACAGGTGGTTTCTCAACAAATTTAGTTTTGAGGGGCATATCTCTTTCAGTACATTACTAAAGGGCAGAAAAGTATTTTCAGCTCATCTAGAAGCTTAAGTATTTTATTGCTCCAGAGCTGTAGCAAGAAAAATTGGATGTTTCTGGCTTTTGAAAGTGTGCTTTCACATTCATAGATTTCACCCAACAGAGTATGATAAAAATTAGTGAGTTAAAGGGAAGAGGTAATATAGTAATTATGAGGCGGAGTGCTCCCTCAGTTTCACAAGCAGCTTGATCAGTTTGTTTTCTTCTTAGACTTAACACTGCATTTGCCTCAGGGTTTCCTGTTCTTGGTAAACAGGCAATATGGGAAGTAATGGGTAGTCTCATAGCACTACAGGAGTCATTTAAGTGTCTGTAAGGATGTACAGCTGTGAGATCTGCACATTAATATGAAAAAAAAAATCTGCTCAAATTTTTCCTAATATGCCATTTACATTTCAGTTTTGGACACTGTGTGGAAATGCACTGACAGCAAAAAGAGGAATATTTGGTAAAACAGGGGATCTGCAAACTATCCTCTGCTTAGCATGTGCAAAAGAAGATATCACGTACTCTGGTGCTTTAAATGGAGACATCTATGTTTGGAAAGGGCTAAACTTAGTTCGCACGATTCAAGGAGCGCATAGTGTAAGTTGTTTGTTTTAACATCAATTTCTGAAATTACCTGTTCATTGACTTGAAAACTTCATGAAGGCTTATCTTCAAAGATCTTATTCTGTTTCAGGTCAGAAGAATGTTTAAGACAGTTCATCAGTTAAGAACTTATCTGTAATTTTTTTACTTTATTTACATATTGTCAGCAGGTGCTAGCTGCTGAACTGATAATGACGGAACTTATATTTTTAGCACTGATTTAGCAAGCAGACTAAAGTTTCTAAGTCTAAAGTTTCTGAAGTATTTTTATTAATCCTAAAATTTCTAAAGCTAAAGTTTCACATATTGAATAGCTACAGGTATGATCAGTTCACGTAAGTAAATGGTCTTATTTTAAATATAATTTTACCACTAAAATTCCAAACATTCAAGACTATTCTTCATAAAAGCTTCAACTGGGAGTAAACGTGAGAATGAATTGACAATATTTCGGTTCCTGTCAGATTCCAAATGACGTCTGAACTGAATTCATGAACGAATGTCTCAGTCATCTCTGCACCTGTAAGAATATTTGTATCGCTTGTTTGCTTGTTTTGTTTATTCAGGGTAACTAGTTATTTTAAGTGTTCCATGTTATTCATTTAATAATTCCCATCGTAATATTAACTAAGCCAAATTTAAAGTTCTGCAAGTGGTCTATATCACTATTATCTATATGCAAATTTGTACATAAATCACTATGAATGAGAGAAATTGAAATAAAAGTGTCCCCTTGTGTTTGCTGGTTTGCTTTATGTGGATGGGACAACATTTTGCTGCCTAGCAGTTCCTAGCCTTTAACAAGAATCTATTCAAAAACATTTGCTTCATGTGTTTAAATTGACCGTACAGAACTTTGAAACTTGTTATACTATTGGTTAACAGGCTGGAATTTTTAGTATGTATGCTTGTGAGGAAGGTTTTGCGACTGGAGGGAGAGATGGTTGCATTCGGTTATGGGACACTGATTTCAAACCAATTACTAAAATTGATCTCAGGGAAACTGAACAAGGATACAAAGGTAAGGAGCTATTACTTTTTTTTTTTTCGCACATCCTAGTTAATGGGTTATGACACAATTTAATTTCAAGCATAAATGTCTCTGCATACTGCTGATTCCTTGCTTAATGACTGTATTTACTTTTAAGATCTGTGTTCCTTTTTTGTTCTGTCAGTGAAGTAGCATGAAGTTTTCTGTATTTCATCATATAAATAGAAGGATGCTTATCTTTGTTGCTCCCAACGATGGAAATATGAGAAAACAAATAAAAACTGATTAATCACAGGAAGCTGAATTGTTAGCCAAACTGTAATTTATTAATTGTAATTCATTTAACTGAGATATTTGGAACCTAATGTTAATAGATGCTGAGCATCTAAGCACATCATTTAGATTCATTTGGAATGGTAGCACTTGGTATATTTAGTGGAGACGTTACTATTAAATTCTTGACCATCATGTTTGTTGAAACTAATCATGCTTCCTACGAATCATCTCTTTATTTTGTGATTAAGATTTTAAGAGTACTTACAATCTTCATAAGTTACAATGCATGCTTTATCAAGAACTCGTTCTTCTGGGAATTGTACACATCCATTTGAATTGAGAATGCAGCAGTCTGTTTGCTCGCCTGCAGTAGGCTTTACATTAGTTTTGGCAGCCAGCTTTGTAATGGTTTATTTCCCCTGCTTCTTAACTTAAATTTTCCAACAATCTGCATGTTATAATTACCATCAGAATAGTCAGGAGGCAGCTAAGGAGGATAACATTTTATTTCTCAATTATGTATTTTGGCCTATGATCTAGTAACAAGCTTGTTACATTTATTTTTTCAATTTACTTAAACCATATCAGTTGATGATTCTAATTCTTGTGAAATCTGTAAGTTTGCAATATCTATGCTCATCCAGCAAGCAAACCGCCAGCAGCCTTGGATGAACACTGCTCTGCCAATTTGCCTACGTGTAGTGTAAACTTGCAAAATTTGTCTTTTAAAAAATGTGTCAAGAACACCCAGCCAGTAGTCCATTTGCTGTATAATTCTGGCTTCATGTAGGTTTTTGCAGGCAGAACCATAATGTTTAATATTAATTCCTAGAAAACATTTGCAGTACCCTATTATAATTTACATCAGTTTTTAATCAACTTAGAAATACCTTATAAAAATGGTGGAGAAATAAGCCTGCCTGCACTGTGAGTTAGGAAGATCATTCAGGCTAATAGCACTCTTGCAGGCTGTCTGTTCCTAATAAAAGTCAGAATAACTTACATGAAGGGCTACACAAAGAAAGCAGTGCTGACGCACAAAACGTGCATGGTCATCTTCCTTTGCTCCTTATGAAGTGATGCTGGGCATGAATGTTATTGCATACATTCATGAAACCAGAGTAGAAGCAAGCTTTTGGTCTTACTGCTACCTGGGATGTGTCCACACTTAGGGCATGACAGACTTTATCTGACTTCAGTTACTTTTAATTGACTGTAGTTAACAAAACTTATACGGAAAATTTTAACTACTAAATAATATCTTACATTACAGAACTGTGAATTATTCATAAAGGTCATTGTCTGTCTGCAGAAAGCAACTGGCTATCCTTCAACAGCTTGCCTAAAAAGAGATTTGGGACTTGATTAAGTTCAATCAAGAAAGGGCTTAGTGAGGGAAAATTCCCATTAGATGTGCTGTTTGGTGATTCTAACTTTATGCCTTTATTTTTGCTATCTGCTAAATGTTAAAAGAAATATAATTCTTAGATGGGAGTAGCTAAGCAGAACCAGACATCGTAACAGCAGTTGTATGTCTGAGTGACAGTCAATAAAGAATTTTGCTATCTTATTGCATGGCAAAAGTAGTAAAAATAATCATTTCTAGAAAGTGAATTATGTTGCTATTTAGTGCATATTTTATGTAAACGATAAATTAAAAATAAATAAATTATCTGATTTCTAAAAACTAAAACATTGTCCAAATCTTGGCTTGAAAGCACTTAAATCCTTCAGATTTTATGTTTGTCTGTCAAAACATTGTCTGCATTAATGGCAAGAAACTGATGTAAGCAATAAGCAAGTGTGCAAAATTTTACCAGAGCTTAATCAAAGATGGTGTGGTCATGAGCATTATCATTTAGACTATCTGTGAAATGTTGTGACTGCTGTATCACTACAACTATATTTACAAATAAATAAATAAAAGGACATTGGGGATGACTGCTGGTCATAAAATCCTAAAATCCAAGCATGTGCTTATATCCCTGTCACCTTGTTCTTGTTCTGGCCTTTCTTCTCTCTTGCGTTCTTTCAGTGTGATACAGCTCCTGCCTGCTGTTTCAGTTGTGTCTGTCCAGTATGTCATCCAGTAGTTTAAGCATATCGGTAACTGAAAGCAGTGGTGGTTGCCTTAGTTGCTTACCCATGACCTTCTGTTCCTCCATTCCAATTACATTTTTTCCAAAGCATTTTACAAAGACATCAACATTCAAACTTAAAACTCCTTTCTAGGGTAGCAGGAATATTTTTTTGGCATACACTCATTCATTGGTCATCCTGTACAGAGGAGTACTAAATGCTTTTAAAATAAGATGCATCACCAGTAAAAATCAGATCATAAACTTGCCATTTCTATTTAAATACACATGAATACTAGTAAAAATTCTTATAGTGTGTAATCTTTCCTTATGTGCACCACATCACAGAAAAAACCTCTCCCACATCAAAAGTTGTCATTAATAGTTTAACTCTTAACAATATCAATTTTGTACTTAACATCCGAGCTTCATTGCTTGTATGGCCTTTAGTGTTTATAAAGAAAACTCGAGTCAAAAATTCCATTGAAATTTAGCTGGGTCACAGAATAGATCTGTTAAAATTAAAAGGTACTGGAACTGGACAAGACAATAAATGAAGATTATCTTGCCCTTCTCAAGAGATGATACAAAATGCTTACAGTAAATTTTATTTATGTGACTAGAAGTTAATTGCATTGAATATTCAATTCCAAACATGATAAAATTGTGATGTGTTTGACCTTGATTACATGACAAATGATCAGCATCTCGACCCATTATCCAAACTTTTAGAAATTTTCATCTATTGAAATAGAAGATACAAACCCTGGAGGTAGTCAGCCAAAGAATGCTATCAATTCATTAATGTTCTGGCTTGAAGCATTCTTTCTCAGCTAAGGGTAACTAAACCAAATTCAGTCTTAGAGCTGTTCTACTTTTTGAGAGTTCTTCATAAATATTTGCTAGCAGACTTCCCTACTTTAAAAGATGTTTTAGAATACAAAACACTAGTTTTCAAACACAGTCACATATGTTGGGGTAAACATATGTTGGGGTAAATTCCCTAGGTGTAAGCAAAGCAGAAAAGCTTAATTCCTTGTCAAACTGGCAGCAGGAATATTAGAGGCAGCATTTTCCCAGGATTGAACTTTGTCTTTTTCTGTCAAATGGAGATAATTTAACAGAACTGTTTTGTGATTTAATCAACTATGATATGACATAGTTTCAAAACATGATGTTTGTTATAAATTAACTCTTAAAGTCATAGTGATTTTCACTGTACTATCACTTTGTCTTGTCATTGCCATTAATATAACATTTTTTTGTCCCCTGTCAGGTTTGTCCATCCGAAGTGTCTGTTGGAAAGCAGACAGACTTTTAGCAGGGACACAGGACAGTGAAATATTTGAGGTGTTAGTAAGAGAGAGAGATAAACCCATGCTGATTATGCAGGGACATTGTGAGGGAGAGCTCTGGGCCTTGGCAGTCCATCCAAAGAAGCCTTTAGCAGTCACAGGCAGTGATGATCGATCTGTACGGTAAGGCTACATCTGTGTTTTGTTTTTTTTTTTTATGTGTTTAATCATGTACACATTGTTTTTAACCAATATCAGTTTGACATATTTGTAAGTTATTTCTTTTTTGGCCTCATGTTAAGACCCTATTAAGACAACGTTTTTCTCCATGTTTTTCTTAGCAACTTCTTGTCTTCAACCTCTTCTCTGTTTGGGCTCCACGCATCATGTAAAAGTAATCAGAATTTGTGTTCAAATAGGTTTAACACGTGCTGGAGTACTTTTCTTTCAGTGCTCATTATTCTTCTGAACAGCAGGTTTAAGTATCAAAATACAACAGCCACCTCATACTTCTCATTAGGTAATACCATGCGATAAACCTAAAGCCTAAATAACTGACTGAATTTTGGCACAGCAGGTGTCTGACTCAGCCATTTTAGAACATTTAATCTAAACCCAATTAAATTAAAATCCCAGAAAATGAGGTTAATGAAAATGCAATGGTTTACCCTAATGAAAAAGGTCTTTCAGATGTTTCTTTTCCTCTCCCAGTTAAAATTTGACCAATTGAGAAGCTGATGAAAAAAAATATATTTTTTAATGCTTGTTAAGATATTACAGTAACGTTTAGATTAATGTTTGGAGTTAAGCTAAGATGCTTGCTGTACTGAATACAAGTTCTATACCCACACAGCTGTTGTATGTTGTCTCAACTGGACATGGACAATGCCCACTGTGAATAATTACTTACCTGGGACTAAAGAGATTCAGCAAAACTTTTCCTCAGCTTTCTTTTTCATGACTGGGAGAGGTACACATGGGTGCAGGAGAGACTTCTGAGAATCCTGGCTTTGTTATGGCAGTTTCCTGAGACTTTTCCTGAAATGGTGCTCTCTGTTGCCCTCTGTATGCAGAGTGCATACATTGGGGTTCATGACAGCTTGGTTTTCTAAGCTCTGGTTTTCCTACTGTCCTAGGGTTCCTCCTGTCCTAATTTCTAATGCCTCTGTCAGTTAGTTTCACTTTTCCTTTCTCCCTTTGTACTTTTACTGGTTTTCTACTCTTGCCATTCCTCATCTCGTTCTAACTATAATTAAACCTTCAAATATGAAACTAACAAAACTCCAAGTAGTCTCTACAGTCATGTAATCCCCACGTTTCCTACATATTAGTATTATTTCTTTCAGTTCATAAAAATGCAGGGATGGTCTCTTCTGCTTTTTTTTTTTTTTTTTTCTTCTTCACAGTTTTACAGGCAGGCACAAATTCACACTGCCTTCGTTCTAGTGGGATGCACGCCCATTCTGAAACAAGACCTGCAATGCTGGGATTAGAGTAGTACTGGCCTGAAGCTAATAAACTATGCCAACTAAGACTTTGGTATAGTGTGTTAATACCATTCTGGTTTGTAGCTGGATAACATACCGCTGACTCAGCGTGCGTGGAACAAACTTGTGCCCTTCTACAAAAGCATGTTCTTTGTGCACATAAAGCCTTACTTAGTTGTGCTCTTATGTTTATTATTGTTGTTCTAGTTCTTATTGTGTTACTGATGCCTTTGAACATCGCCATTCTATAAAATGTGCATTTATTAAAATTAATGTTTTGCTGCATTCCAACATACCCTCATTTGGCTGGTTAGGCACTAGGGAATGTAGGATTTGAATTCTAGTTCAGGCAGTGCTATTTTTTATATGCAAATGCTTCGTGTGAGGAATTCCACAGAAATACATAAATGCTTGTTCGTTTTCAGTAACATGAAATGTACACAAACGGATTTTCCTATATTGTTTTTTCATTAATGTTTTTGGGCTGCAGGCTTAGACCAATTGTGTCTTAGCAATGAATGCAAGGAAATAGATTAATAGTTTAGAATCTGAAAGATAATTCTGTTAGTAAAAGGATTTTCCACAATGGAAGGGAATATCAGTCCCAAACCAGAGAAAATTGCAGTAGGGAAATGAAGCATCTTGAATTTGTTTGCCTAGAAACTTCATGCATCCCTAACGTTATGAGATGAATTTTAGTAATGATTTTGCATTGACAGGAATGTTTCTATATTGCCATTTACTTTATTACATAATTTTTCTTAGTATTTGATTACCACATTCTTTTGAGAAGAATGGCTATAGTATAAAGTAAATTGTTTTGCAAATAAAATTATTTAGTAGGCCAGATTACATTCTTATGTCAAAATGACATGTTTAAATGAAAAGGACCTCAGAAGCATTAAGGGGAATTTCTCTAGATTTTCCCTAGCACAGCTGAGAGAAGACTAACTGAATATAGGATTCCTCCATTTTAAATTTCAAAGCCGTATCAATGAGGAATGCTGCTTGTTTCCTGTCTCTTACAACAGGAATAGGGAAGAGACTTCATTGTCATCTGAACACCAGTGGACGCATACAGAATTACTTATTATATTTGTTCAATGGAATTCATACCTGTCTTTTTGCAGCATAGCAGCGTAACATCTAGCTGCAGGACCACAAATAGCTGCTGTTCTGCCAGAACATCTCAGCTATGCTGCCTGTCTTTCTAGAATGATCTCTTTCTCTACTCCTACATTTGTGAGAAGATTGATACAGAATCCTATTTTTATACAAATCAATCTAAATATTTGTGGTTTTCTTTGTTTGTTTGTTTGTTTTTAACGCAGTGTTGTTCTGCCAGTGAATGAAACAAACCAGCAGTTAAGCTTCTGCCATCAGCTCTGGCTGTTCCTGCATATGAAGTGGTTGCTAGTAAACCTCCTGAGAGGCTGTAATCAGTATGTGCACCAAAAAATAAATTCATATGTCAGCTGTATGACAGAAAAGACTGGAAAATTTACTAATAAAATCATGTTTCATGAGCCTGTTTTGGCATCTAAAACTCAGTCATTTAAACAAACACATTGGAAACATTCTAAAGAATGTTAAAAACACATCTTTGCCGTATTTGAAAACAGAGGCACTTGTAAACAGAAGTAGTTTGTTTATCTAGCTCTTTCCAAAACAACGTGAACAATGTACAGAAGCATTTTGCCAGCAAAAATACCTTTCCTATTTTCATAAACAAAGCAAGGCTTTTCATTTTCAGTTGTGCATACAAATGCCTGCACATGTGCAAACTGATTTATTTTTTACTTATTTGTTAAAAAATTATAAGTTTTCATTAATTCAAGAAAGTCAAAAAGATGTTTTTGTATTATTATTATTTTTTTTTAATTGCAGTTATGCTCCTAACATTTTGAGCAAAGTGATCCACTTAGAAGCAACAATTTTGGAGGCCAACTCTCCTGGTCTTTCTTTTGAAATCTTTCAAAATCCTTTCTGGTTCTAGGACTTCTAGCATAGCTCTTAAGAATCTTGCATCTGATCCTTACTTCTGTTTTGTCTTTGGAAAGCAGTCTAGCATCCCACGAAAATTTTTCACCAGGTGAAAAATGCCACACTTGGCATTGTACATGCCAAGACGTCTTTTCAAATTCTTTCTCATCCTTGAATTCTCTCAGACTAAGAGCAAACCAGGCTGACCCTAATAACATTAACCTGACAAGTTCCAAAGGGTTTCTGATTGAAAAGAAAAAAAGAAATGCTGAGATCACAGGGTGCTGTCCTTTTTCAATACAGGCCGTCAAATACTATAATCCTTTTACTAAATTTATCAAACTCTGTCTTTATTTTTTTTTCTCCTGTTACTCTTACTTCAAGGATGCATCTAAATGTTACTGCTGGTGTGGTCAGAAATTTCCTTCTCATTTTCAGAGTATATTCATGTTCTGTTTATCCTATTTGTTCTAGTGCCAACATGGTCCTTCAACATAACTTTTTCTCCTTCTTTGATGTTTATCCTACTGCTGTATTTTTGGAAGCAATACTATCCCTTCCCAGCCTTTGTTTCACTAAGGTATAAAAGTTAACTCTTTTGGTCCTCTTTAATGTGATACAGTCTTCATTCTCTTAATCATCCTAATAATCCTTCACTGCATCTGTTCCTGTTTTTATTCAAGTTTCTTGGGAGACTCTGTAAAGAACATGCTGGATGAGGTCACTATGTGTTGTGTGATAATGTTTTTGTGTACCTCCTGTAATAGCACCCAGGATACATTTTAGGATCAGATTTCCTTTTTCCTGTCTGCAACTCACTCATGGATCATAGTCATTCTATAATTGAAAAAACAGTGTGGGATCTTACTTCTTTTTGCTGGTTCCACTTATGTTTCAAGCTTACAGCACAATTTTAGATATGAGACTCTGAGAATATGGGCTTCAGTTAAATTTCATTCCATGTCTGTTTGTTTCATCATCAAGAATCCTCTGTTTCTTCCAATTTGATAAATCCACCTCTGGGTTCACAGAGCCTCCCAGCTTGCTGTCCGTAGCAAATTTCATTAGCATTCTCATCTTTTGTGCTGGTGTTTTTAGCAAAAATATTAAATGTACTATTCCAAAGCTTGTAGAAATCTCGGCAGTATCTTCCATCCAGCCTAATTGTTTCTTTCTGTAAAGCTTGCATAAAACTTTACCCAATATCATGTTACAGTTCCCATATAAGTTAACGTTTTCTCAAGTTTAGCCAATAACTACATTACCAGTGTTATAATATTTTACTTAATATTTTATAAATCTCTAACAAATACATTAGATCTTTGACACTTTCCTCAAAATAAAGATAGTTGGGTATTGCTGACTTAATTTTTCTACCCCAAGAGGTCTTTTATGCATTTTCTTCCATATGTTTAATTATTCTTTTCGCTATTTTTTTTCTAAATCTTGCATACTGAGATCTGATTAACCAGCTTGTAGTGATCTGGGAAACTCCCTTTGTTCCTTCTTAAAATATAGGTACAGTGTTTTTCCCCATCTTACGACATATTTATTGATTCATTTTATTTAAAATGTTGTAAATGACCAAATCAGCATGCAGTATTGTATACTAGTTTATTAAAGGTTATAACAAGAAAATTTTCCCTGTGATTGGAATGTTTACTTTCTTTGAGTATTACTTTCACTTCCGCTGAAAATTTCACCCTCGTCTGCATGGACCCTATCTGTCTACAGAAAATTGCATTCTTTTGTTACTCATCTAGGGGAATTCTATTAGCTAATGAGTCATTCGTACAGAATGCTTGTAGTTTAGCTTGAACGACTTTCTTCACCCTGCTTGCTTTTTGCTGTCACAGATATGTGTTCCAGTCTGAGCTGCCATCCGTGCTAGGACTGGGAGTAGTAAAGACTCCTTTATTTTGGAAGAAATTTAAACCTGGGATGTCATTTGATGTTATTTACCAAGAGGTTTATTGCGACTGTCGGAAAATTCTGTCTCCATATATTGAATCAGGCAGTCACTGTATACTATTTTACTCTTCTAGATTGATAAGCAGTTTTGAATTTTTAAAAACTACGTATGTGAAAGTGTTGGCTCAAGTCAGTGCAAATATCGTCATTCTGTGGTTGGAAAGGAAGTTAATGCATTCTAAAATCTTAATATAAGGTGTACATACAAATGGGCCCTTAAAATTGGGTTAGACTTGTAATTTTTACTCATGATAATATTGAACTATTGTGCAGTCAGGAAAAATGCTACTGTTTTCAATTTCTTTTGATGCAGATTATGGAGTCTTGCTGACCATGCCTTGATAGCTCGTTGTAATATGGAGGAAGCAGTGCGGAGTGTTTCTTTCAGTCCTGATGGATCACAGTTAGCACTTGGAATGAAAGATGGCTCCTTTATTGTTCTTAGAGTAAGGTAAGATGAGAGAATTTGGTACTGGCTTCTTATGTGAGGTGTTTTTTTTTTCCCCCCCAAGCAACTTAAGTCCCTATTATAAATTTTTTCCTATTAAAAATAAAGTAATATCATTGTGTTTTTCATTAAAAAAGTAAAATTTGAGGATATGCTTCCATAATATTACTTGATGTTTTAAAAGGTGCTAGTTTGACAGTGAAGAACAAACCTATGCTGTATTCAAGTCAAAAAATTAGCTCACAGTAATGAGGTTGATACAATTTAAGACTTTCAAGTTTGGCTTTTTTTTTTAAATTTATTCTGGAATTACACGAATATTTTGTGAAAAAATGTGCATAACAGAGTTAACACAGTTTTAAGAAGCGTCTCCTTGATAAGTTTTCTGCCATAAACAAGAATAGCTAGTACCAAAATAATCAGTGATTAAAAAACATTTTTAAGCATATGCTAAATATACAGAAATTCCAGATTTTTTATTAGATTACAAGACTTTTTCTCATGGTGCATCTTACCCAGTGGGCATTTTCTGTCTGAGATGATATTATGAAAGACAAAAAAAGGCAGGTAAAGCATAAACTGGCCATGGAGTGAAATAACCAGCAAAAATAGTATGACTTCGAAAGAAGCTATTTTAATTGATACTTGGAAGAGTTTACACTTCTTTAACATTGTTGCCTATTTAGTAAGCATACATGTATATTTAAAATGCTTTGAACTTGTAGCTGATAGGAGGGAAAAGCATGTTATCGATGGAAGATCTGTTAAAACTGCTGTAATACTGACTTTCATAAATCTTAAGTGATCTGTTCACATTAATTTAAAATCCTTTTCAAAGACCAGTCCTTTTCTAAAGCAGTTAATCTTCTTTGTCTCGCAGTAATCTTGTCTTTGCTAATTTGTCTGATACCTAAGGTTATTCATGATTCAGCTGGTGGAGACCGATAATGATAAACCCAGCGTTATTCCTGAAAGAGTGGCAACACACTTGTGTAAGGCCCTGAATGCAATTGCTTCACCATCTGTTACTTTTCCATGACAGATCTTCTGACAGGGTAACAAATCAGCAGCCCCTGATGCAGGAAGACTGGACTATGGCATGTTTTGTTGGCTTCTTTTTTTTTTTTTTTTTTCAATTGTATGGGCTCAGTGAATGAATCTTTCTGATCTCCTTCTTCCGAGTCCTCGGCCATGAAAGATCTAAATCTATGGAATAATATAAAGAACTCACTGCCCTTCTCAGTAGCAATATTTACCACTATGGAATAGTTAGGTTGCCAGTTTTTAGCAATAAGGCAGAACTTACAATTTTTTTAATTTTTCTTTTTCCATTGCAGACAGAGAGGGCTGCTGGATCCCCAAAAGATGTAGCTAACTGGTCATAGTAAGGGGGAGTAGTCATATCTAGCTTTACCGTCCTAATTTTTTGCCATAACTATAAACTGTCTGCCTCCCTAAAAGAGACAGTGTAGAGAAACGGGTATCTCCCACAGGCCATTCAAATACGGTCTTGTGAGGTGCAGTAATCACTCTTAAGGTGGAACTCTTTTTTCATTTACAATGTAAAAAAAAATTAAGTCTGGTCTAGTTTAGCTGTTTTACAGCTAGCATTAGGTGAGTAGAATGAAGAGTATCATTGATGGGTAAAGTTGTTTCTATTTTTTGTTTTTAAAACATTCTTATAGCCAATGAAACCAATAGGAGCTTCTGAAAAAAAAAAAAGGATTGCTTTGTTAAAACTGTTTCTTGTTGTACAAGGTATTCAGTGCATTTGTCTTCATATTTGTCTTAAATATTTGTGGGTTGTACTTCCACTATTTTACAGTTCATATTTTCACAATTGGTTCTTGCAGAGACATGACAGAGGTAGTTCATATTAAAGACCGAAAAGAAGTAATCCATGAAATGAAATTTTCACCAGATGGCTCTTACCTTGCTGTGGGTTCAAACGATGGTCCAGTGGATATCTATGCGGTTGCTCAGCGATACAAAAAAATAGGAGAATGCAACAAATCTTCTAGTTTTATCACTCACATTGACTGGTCTGTGGATAGTAAATTCTTGCAAACCAACGATGGTGCAGGAGACAGACTGTTCTACAAGATGCCTTGTAAGTTTACAAGTATGAATGTGGTATGAACAAACAAACTTCAGTGTTAGTTTGAAGAGAACAACAAAAATATGACATAAACAGTACATCTGCAAGCAGAGCTGCTTGACTGGAACTTACATAAATACTGTAGTTCATTTTTAAAATCAGCATTCACAGTATATACCCACCTTCAGCTGTGGTTAAGTAAAAACTGTCTGCATTGTAGGGCAAGATTTATATTCACATCACCAGGAGAAAAAAAAAAAAAGTACCAAATATACTTACACACTATTTTTTTTTTGGGGGACCTCAACTGTAGTAATATATATATACCCTGTACAATTTCCTCGCAATCCAACTTGTCACTTCTGAGGGTGATTGGGTTGGAATTAGATGACCTCTAAGGTCCCTTCCAACCCAAACCTTTCTATGATTTTATGATTCTGTGATTGTCCTGTAAAAATATTTGTAATTAATCTACAACAGTATGATAAATGATTTATTATAATTCATAATTGAGAATGCTTTCTAATATTTAGATAAAAGTGTCAGCAGAAGAGAGCCTTAGGAGTAAGATTTTGTTCTCATCTGACCTACTTTGGCAACCCTCTTGTGTAGGGAATCTAAATCATATTTTTCTTATCCAAACTTATTTGGAGGTTAATTATGAATTTAGCTGACAGTGGCCATATCTTCTGGCTCCTAGCAAATACTCAGTTTCAGTCAAAATCTGAATTTCCATTGACTCTGGGTTGAAATAATATCGCCATCAAAAATAATCAAAGTGTTGTTTAAGCCTTATTTCATTATCATTACTGTGATAATTTAAATTTGGACAGTTCAGATCAAGTTGGATTCACTTAAAGTTTCCAAACTTGCATCTTCCCTTTACTTTTCTCTCTGTGGACTTTAAGAAATTATGGTGTTTCTGATGACATTAATGAGTAGCACATAGATAAACTCCCAGGCATATTAAATTAAGTAAATCCATTGCATATTTAGAATGAATCTGCAACTGTGTTTGATAAACATTTGGATTAAAAAGCCTGGAGTAGTCTAACCAAGAAAATCTGGTTAGACTGGGATGTGTATCTCTAATAGCTTTGTGTCATTCAAGAATTGAAGTTAAAGGTGCTTTCTATATTTAGCCGTTATGAAATCGAAACAAAAAGCTAAAATTAGTTATCTTCCAATAGTGCCTGTAAATTTCCTAAGGCCTACCTAAATAAGCTTGGATCAAATGCTGAATCTAAACCTGACCCTGTTCAAATTTCACAGCAGTTCTGTCAAATTTTAAAATGAGATTCTGGTTTCTTTTTAGTTGACGTCTCTTGAAATGTTTTAATATATCTAAAGAAAATGTTCAATTTTGCTTGTTCTATAGAATTGCTAAATTGATAATTCCAATTATTCGTTTTTTTTTGTAATAATGCTTTTTCTTGCACAGTACTTTGCTTTTCAGCATGATGCTACAGTCACTTTCTGTTCTTTGTTGCTGTTATATTCATATTGATACTAAAAATAACATTACTTACGTCATGAAACAGACAATGAACATATTCATCGGCTAGTTATTTCCCCAGTTGTGCTCATTCTTCTAGTACATGCAAAACATTAAAAATATTTCCTTACATAAATAGCGCTCAAATTTATCACGAAGTCAGAGTATATCTAGTCAACTGCAAAGCAGTCTCTGTAAATGAAAAGTACCAGAAGTACCACAAAGTACCACAAAATGATTGACTGAGCAAATATTCAAATTTTAAGTATACTCATTTAAAGAAAATGGAGAATCTTTGTAATTTATTGATGTTAAAAAAAAAATAATACAAAGAAGAATATACAGATAAGTGTACTGAAGGAAATGCTATTTACTGAAAAACAAATGATTAAACAGAATATTCACTTCTGTATTTTCAGCTGGGAAGCATCTAACTAGCAAAGATGAGATCAAAGGAATTCATTGGGCCTCATGGACCTGTGTGATAGGATCTGAAGTAAATGGTATTTGGCCAAAATATACAAACGTTACAGACGTCAACTCTGTGGATGGAAACTACAATAGCTCAGTGTTAGTGACTGGAGATGATTTTGGACTGGTTAAGTTGTTCAGATTTCCATGCCTAAAGAAAGGTAAGACAGTATTTTGTATTTCTGAAGAATGTGATGTTTGTTTAATGCCGTATCAGTGTATTTTCTGAGAGAGACTTTAAATTCAGGTGTATAACTCAAGTTAGTGTGAGTACAATTCACATTAGTATTATTGGACATAATTATGAGATTTTAACCCGCTTTGTATCTAGCAATTTCCTGTCAGTGTGTATGTACTTGTTCAGAATATCTAGTTTAGCATGTGCTTACGCTAATACTATATTGTCATCCAAATTTATGCCAGTAATAATTTCAGAAACCAGTAGGGCTTCACTGTCTATTAGTATGTGTCAGCGTAGCTCTGTGTGAGCTATTTACTTCATATTTGTAGTAGGCTGTGAATTTTTTAACATAGGTTGTTTCCTCGTTAATTGCACTGTACCACACATAAAGCCAATAAAACTAAATATGATAACCTTTTGGCTTTCTGTGATCTTCAGTGTTTAAGTTGATATTATATAAGTATTATTTTTTGATAGTGCATTTGAATAAATGTATGTAGTTTATTTTTATAATTCATACCAGTATTAATGTCCATAAAGATGAAAATTTAACCCTATCTGTAGCTACTACCTCCTGCCAAGATTTAAGTATTTTTCTGAAAACTGAAGTGACCATATTGTTATTTTATAACATATATTTTATATTAAAATTATAATTAGCATCACAATATCAAAACAGACATTTAAGTATTTTTTGTAGCTTTCTTTTCAGTTTCAGTTGGAAAGCCTGCCTTCATTAGTTACCATGTTAATTTTGTTTTTCTTCTTACATATTAACAGTTCTATTTTTCACTTTAGGAGCTAAATTTAGAAAATATGTTGGCCATTCAGCACATGTAACGAATGTCCGATGGTCCCATGACTTTCAGTGGGTTTTAAGTACTGGAGGTGCTGATCACTCTGTCTTTCAGTGGCGATTTATCCCTGAAGGGATAACAAATGGCATCCTCGAAACAGCTCCACAAGGTAAAAGTGATCTCTTCTAAATTATTTATTAAATAGGATAACAGAGAATGCAGCAATTATACAAAAGCTTTTATTGACTTAGCAGAAAAACATTTTTTTTATTGCAATTCCATGGAATGACATCGACTCAGTATGTCTGGGACAGTTTTACTTCTTACAGGCAACCATTTCTTTCTGCAGTCTGCTATGTTGTATGTTTAGGAATACACAAGTAGTATTTGCCAAAGCGTATAAAAAAACAGCTTAGACGGAGATAACTAGATCAAATTCAGTTTTCAGAATTAGCCATCTAACTTGCCTTCAGAAGCCTGACTGCACACATTGAGTTACTTACATTTGCAATGCAAATTCACTCTTTTATTATATGTGATAGATTTTCCTGCTATATCCATGATATTTAAAATATTTTACAAAAGCCATACAAACTATGGCAGTTGCTGAAAATTTGATTGCCCTCAACACAAGGGCAAAAATTCACTCTACCTACATAATTGGTAAAATGCTTATGTTATAGCAAATCTTTTTATACACTGGAAAGTGATCACACTGAAAGATTTTATTTACCATTTCTGTATGTATTCACTCCAGTGCCTGTTAAGAACACATTCTTTAAGATGATGGAAATGTGCTAGTAACTACTTAGTTATTCTTTTTCCCTCTGCCACCATCCTGTCCCAGGCATTGAAATAGGAGAAACAGAAATGAAACCTGATGCACTCAGTCAGCCCATATGATTTTTACAAGCTGCTTATTTTTCCAAAGTTGTTGAATACTAGTTTGCATATAGTCTAAATTATAATAAAAACGTCACATACTATTTCCTTGTAATTAGATGTCTGTTATATATGAATTATTTTTATGCAGAGGGTGGCATTGATTCCTACAGTGAAGAGTCAGATTCAGATTTATCTGATGTGCCAGAGTTAGATTCTGACATTGAACAGGAAGCTCAAATCAACTATGATCGCCAGGTGAGTAGAAATTAATACGTTGTGCCAATTGCCTGACAAGTTATCATGAGTATTCAGTAAAGATGAGTAAAAGAAGCTTGCAGCTAATTCATGAGCCTACTGTAAGAAGATTATTTTGACAGTATTCTGCTGATTATGCAATAAATATAAATAAAACCAGTTTATTTATCTGTGGATGAGAATTTGAAAGGGTTGGAAGAAAAATACATTGGTGTATATATAATTATATATTGAAATAAGAAAATATCTTATAGAGCACAAAGTTAAACATTTTGTGAGAGCTTATCACTACTCCCATTCCTATGATGTGTGCTAATGAAGACAGTTCAAATCAGATGCAGAAATTTAATTTGTAAAATAGAGACGATGGAGTTTTCCTATGACTTCTGCATATTCAAAGCAGAATAATCCTCTTAATGAATATGGAGCCTGTACAATACATTTATTTATGACAGATTATTTTTATTACCAATGACAAAATGTCCAAGAATTAAAATCTCTCTAGTTTATGAGAACAAAGTAAAACCAGTCTTTACTGATCACTTAATACACTGAATTTTCTTTCTGTTTTCAATACAACTACTTTCTTAGATAAATTAAAATAGATTGCTTCCATGCAAGAGAAAAACAAATCAAATGAGCAGTCTTTTCTGCATTGATTTTTTTCAGGAACTGTAGTATGACGTTCCACTCTTTAACCTGATCTTTCGATGTTGATTTATAACACATGTTCTATTATTTTAATTAAAATTTAAAAAAATGTAATGAGTATTCCTTTAGCTTTGATTTTTAAAGCGTTTGGAATTCTGTTAAATTTTAATTGAACTTTATAGAATGATTTATCCTGGCTCATGTTCTGTCTGTGCATGAAACTGATTCTGCTTTGGCCAGTGTCATTAAGTATTATTTAGAATCCTGTTGATTACTTTCCTTAACAGGAGAAACAAATAAGAGTTTGGAATTGTCTGATTCAGATCCACTTATTTGCAAAGTTGAAACAACGTACTGTTTCTATATAAAAACCTATTTCATTAACACAGTTGAACAAAAATGTTGTATCTTCACTTCAAGTATCAAGTTCTACTCAGTGAACAACAGAAAAACAAAACTCACTGTTCTCTATCTCTTGCAATCATGCTCCAGGTGCTTCCCTTACGTTCTCGATGGACTCCTGTTGATCTCTCTCCTGATAATTTGTCAACTTCTGAGTTTGCCATTCACTCGACCTCAGTCCTTAATGAAAATGTTCTGTTACATAGCTTAGCTTCTTCCTGTTTTTATATGAGCTCCGTGTTTCGAATAGTGGCTTCTATACCTTAAAAATATCATAACAATTTCTATTCATCTTGAATAAATGATGTCTCCCAATACCCTTCAGCTCTGATAAAGGCCTGACCATGTACCCCAATTGATCCAGACTTGGATCTTGGGTCTTGGCTTGATTTAGGGCCTCCTACATCACATTTACCAATGTCTGGCAACTACTGGGCTGTGGCTTTGTGAGCTCTGGCAGTCAGTTATGGTAGCTGTCCCGGGTTACTGTCTCCAGACCAGATTCTGACTTGCTGACTCAATGTGTCAGCTTGACCTTGGATCTGCATTGTCACTGTAGGCTTGTCTGGTGATCAGGAGTCTTGGCTGAATTTACTAAGTGCTACGTAAACACTGATCTTTTTATCAGTCTGTGACGTCGGAGGGTGCTATTATCTTTGTTTTGAAGACAAGGAAACATTCATACCAAATGGTTTGCTTGCTCTCCTGATTTTGGCTTCCATTTTAAAATACTTGGGACCTGATTTTTCAGGAGTCATTATCATTGTGAGTAGACTATTAATTATCGCCTTGACATGTTACCTTATCAATTTCAATGGAGAAAGGTCAAAATTTCCACAGACCAGAACTAGAATCTCAGACTAAGTGGCCAAAGCATGCAAAATACACAACGAGCTTCCAGTTTGTTTGAGTGACTTCATGGCTGCATGTAGCTGCTCTCTAGAGCGCTGATGGGGTCACCCTCTAACATTCTAGACTTTAGGAAAAGGGCTATCTTTTGTCTTTTCACCACACTTTCTAGATCCTGTATTATGTGATGTAGGTCCTTCAGACAGCAGCTTATTCTACCTGTTTATTATAGAGATCTATTTTGCTTGCCAAGTGAAGCAGAGGTTTGTCAAATTTTCTCTCCACCATTTCATTTACTCCAAGTCTGTCTGGAGTGCTTGTTCCAGCCTCCTCCTCCTCCTCCTGATTCTCCCTCTGAATTCAAATCAGACATCATCCTCCTCCACACTGTCTATGTGTCAAAAAGGACGTCTGGAATTAAAACCTGAAAATGGAAAAAATAGTTTTAGGCAGTTAAACTGTAATATTTCACACAGGCTAATGTATGACAAAGCTAGAAGCAACTTAAAATAGGATTTATACAGGAAATGTGAGACAACATCAAGCATATAAGCTGCACTTAGAAGAAAATCACTCTTTAGAGGAAATAATTTACAAAAGCACATGGAGACTTAAAAACACAGATCTTATTTTGAGACGTGGATTTGTTCTTCTTTTTTAAAAAATTTGTGGCTGAAGCAGTGTAAAGACTTCTGCGTATTCAGATGCATTAGAAAATGATACTCCTGGTATTCTTTTTCATTGGCAGCATTCACTGAGGAGGTAAATGGATGAGAACACTAAGGACAAAATACATTTCATATGAGTGACAGACAAAATGTGTTAAGGTTCTATTTAGCTACCATATCAAAAACCCATCTCAAGTTATATGAACGTTGTTCTTGTAAATATAGAATCATAGAATCATAGAATATCCTGAGTTGGAAGGGACCCTTAAGGATCATCAAGTCCAACTCTTGACACCGCACAGGTCTACCCAAAAGTTCAGACCATGTGACTAAGTGCACAGTCCAATCTCTTCTTAAATTCAGTCAGGCTCGGTGCAGTGACCACTTCCCTGGGGAGCCTGTTCCAGTGTGCAACCACCCTCTCTGTGAAGAACCCCCTCCTAATGTCAAGCCTAAATTTCCCCTGCCTCAGCTTAACCCCGTTCCCGCGGGTCCTGTCGCTGGTGTTAATGGAGAAAAGGTCTCCTGCCTCTCGACACCCCCTTACGAGGAAGTTGTAGACTGCGATGAGGTCTCTCCTCAGCCTCCTCTTCTCCAGGCTGAACAGGCCCAGTGATCTCAGCCGTTCCTCGTACGTCTTCCCCTCCAGGCCTTTCACCATCTTCGTAGCCCTCCTCTGGACACTCTCCAACAGTTTCATGTCCTTTTTATACTGTGGTGCCCAGAACTGCACACAGTACTCGAGGTGAGGCCGCACCAGCGCAGAGTAGAGCGGGACAATCACCTCCCTCGACCTACTAGCGATGCCGTGCTTGATGCACCCCAGGACACGGTTGGCCCTCCTGGCTGCCAGGGCACACTGCCGGCTCATATTCAACTTGCTGTCTACCACGACCCCCAGATCCCTCTCTTCTAGGCTGCTCTCCAGCGTCTCATCGCCCAGTCTGTACGTGCAGCCAGGGTTTCCCCGTCCCAGGTGCAGGACCCGGCACTTGCTCTTATTGAACTTCATGCGGTTGGCGATCGCCCAGCTCTCCAACCTATCCAGATCCCTCTGCAAGGCCTTTCCACCCTCATTCGAGTCCACAACTCCTCCAAGTTTGGTGTCATCAGCAAACTTGCTCAAAATACCTTCTATTCCTACATCCAGATCGTTTATAAAAATATTGAAAAGTACCGGCCCTAAAATGGAGCCTTGAGGGACCCCACTAGTGACCGCCTGCCAGCCTGACGCAGCGCCATTCACCATAACCCTTTGGGCCCTGCCCGTTAGCCAATTGCTCACCCATCGTATGATGTTTTTATATCCAATACTCTATCTCTGCAGTCACATATGTTTCTGTGGAGTTGAAATTTTCATTGTCCTTTTGGGGGAAGAGAAAAAAAAGGCAAACAAAAAAAGAAATGTGGGGACAGAAAACAAACAATAAGGCTGTATGTCAGCGTTATAATGGATTTTGTTTAGTGCCACGGCTTTCAAGAGGCTTCAAACATCTTCAGCATCCTCAAAGAATGTCATAATTTCTGAAAAATGTAGATGCATGGTAATTTGTGACTTTAGTTTTGTCTATAGGGCTGTAATTGTGCTTCACAATTCTGGACACAATGGCAAATCACTTAAGTGCTGTTGGTTTGTGTGTATTTCACCATAATCCCTAGCTAGAATTAGTTCATTATGTCCAGCTTTGACTGTGTACACTGAAATACATATGAAGTTAAAAAGACACTTAGAGACTTAAAAAGTGTTTGTCAGTATTTTAAATCCTTTTCATTAAGTGGCATCTTGTAGAAAAAGTACGTTCTTATGATGCTACTCCAGAGTGATGTTCTGAGCCCCTCATGTGTCAGGGCACATGAAATGTTTTCCTATCTGGAAAACATTTATTATCAGAAGTTCTGCAGGGATGGATAATGACTTGCTCTTTGTTGTAACAGATGAACATCACATTAACAGTATATCAAGTTGTAATACTTGCTTGAAACAGTGACTTTCTTGTATATATATAAATATTCAGAAAACTAGAGCTGTGCAATTAACTTTAACAATTATTATTCAGGTTTACAAAGAAGATCTACCTCAGCTGAAACAACAAAGTAAAGAGAAAAACCATTCTGTGCCCTTCCTTAAAAGAGAGCGAGCACCTGAGGACAGTTTAAAATTGCAGTTTATACATGGGTAGAGTAATATTTAATCATACTTTTTTGTTGTTTTCTTTTTTTTTTCTGATTGTGAAAACAGCCTTACAATTTCAATCAATTCATGTCAGAGCATTTAGCAAAGTATTTTTCAGTGCTTAATCATAATTAATTTATTTTTCATTACTCTGGGGAATTTTTGGAATATCAGCCATAGATTTGCCTCTTTCAGTTGCATTTATTAAGGAACAAGATAAGGTTATAATGCTATAGCCATATAATAAATAATACCTTAGCATTGCATTTTACAGAATTACCTTTTAAATAGCTACTGACTACACCTTATGTTTTCTGGAGCAAAGATTCTTTGTTGATTGTGATTGCCATGATTTCTAAAAATGCCTGATAGATTTATGCTTGAACCCAAGTTCTTGTAAAACTTACCTGAATATAATTTTATGTGCATTACATATTATTTCTGTGAAATCAGTGTTAATTTAGGAGCTAGGTGCAAAGTAAACCATGAAGATTTATGAATGCCTACTTTTGGTGGGTTCTCTCTGCCTGTGTGCTGTGTTGATTTTTTTTGAGCCAGCAAGGCATATACCCCAGCTGTACCCTTTTCAAGTTAATGCACAGATTATTTGCACAATTTGTTACATAAAGTACCAGGATATTTTTTAAACAAAATCTAACTTGTTTTGTATTTACCTCAGTTACAGGGGCTATGACTGTCGAAATAACTTGTTCTACACACAGACTGGAGAAGTAGTGTATCATATTGCTGCTGTAGCTGTTGTATACAATAGACAACAACACACTCAAAGGCTGTATCTTGGTCATGATGATGACATCCTCAGCCTATGCATTCACCCAGTGAAAGACTATGTTGCTACTGGACAGGTAGGTGTTTAGAAGAGATAATTTTGCGAAAACATGGAAATAAATATCTTTTCCAATTCATAATTAGAAAAAATATGTTTGTTTGTTTGTTTTTTAACTATTTTATTTTATTTTCACTTTGAACCTCTGCCTTCATCTGTAAAGTGCTGGAACTGCATTCTATCCACATGCTGGGTGTTCTTGATGCTTCCTTAGTCAGTCTCAGTATTTATCATTCACAAGCCTTACTCAGATATTTTATGTAGGTCACTCTACTGATACCTGATAGATTTTCCCAAAAAAGCCAATATTTTTAAATAAAAACACATGGGAATGGCAAGAGTAAGGGAAGAAGAGACAGCAGTTAAAAGTAGTCGTGGGTGCAGTTTCTCAGTATAGCAAATGCCTTAGTCGTAGCAATATTATAAGGCTGTTTATAGATACCAGAAGACAGTTGAATCTTAAACAATTTTGAAAAATGCAGGCTTTGAAATGAAAAATTAAGATTTCTTACTGATATGGAGTGACAGAAAAAATGTTTAGAAATGTTTAAGCAGAAGCTGGCCAGCAGCTGTTTAAGACGGAATACTGGAGAAACAAATGCAGTGGATTTCATTATGAATTAGCGATGAAGATGTGAAAGTTCAAAGGAAGATACTGGAAAGATTTTAGTGAAAATGATGAAATGGCAATTTGAGTGGAAAAGTGTCTGCAGTGGAAGCCAGCACTGCTGTTATTATTAATCAAGATAATGGATTAGATTTGGTGATTTCACTGCAGAGAAAAATCAGGTGCTGTACACTTTCTTTGCAAATAAGTTGCCAGATTTAGATTTAGACTCAGAATAGCTGTATGGGGCAAGATGATGGGCATCTGAATAAAAAGGGATGCTCGCAATCTGAGTGGTAAAGTGGCTGACATTGTGTTGGTGAGAACTGGAGGTAGGACAGATAAGCTAAAAGAGCTTGACTGAGGACGTTGAATTTAAATTGATAGCTGGAATTCCATTAAGAAATACTAGAAGGAAAGAAGATTGTTCAGAAAATTCAAAAAATTTTGTTACACGAACTACAGGAAGGTGAGATTTCAAGGCTAGTGGCCTAGATGGGCCTTTGGGACGAAGGAAGCCCAGAAGCATAAGGGCATAGCATTGTAAGCAAGAAGGTTCTATTTTTTCTGGGAAGGTAGAAATAAGATTGCAAGAGTATGCGTGGGTGAGAGATTTAAGACTCTTGCAGAATTTTACAGAATGTGAAATACAGAAATGTGCTAGGGAGAAAGGGACTTCTCTCAGACAGAGTGAAATAGGTCAAATATTTTTTTGTTCTTTTGATGACAGGGGGACTGAAGAACACCCATACTTATCAGTGCCTTTCCAAGCTTACTTTTTCATGTCCAATTTCATGAGTTTTGTGGTTTGTAGGTGTCCAGACAGTGAGAACTTCTCAGTGTCAGTGAGTGAGGCCAAACTGGGAGAAAGGGGACTATATGTATGGATACATAGAGTATGGGTAGTGTATAGATGTATGTATGGATTTGTAAAGAAGGGATGGGAGAGAGATAAAGAAAAAAAAGGAGATGAGGGAGGTTATGTCAGCTATTGTTTCTAATTAGGCTAGGATCCCTGAGAGAGAAGGATGAAGGGGTACTTAAGGTCTGGTAAAAGAACAAGACAAAAGGAGTGATTTCTTTTGGAAAACTATCTTTAAGTCAGACTGCTCCTGTGCTTCAGTTTGCAACATGGAGGCAGGAATGTTTCTCATACCACAACTGACAGGGTAGTTAACTTTTCACAAGGTTCTTCGTATACTTTTCCATGAACACAGTATGTTAAAGTTCTACACCCCAACGTGCCTGAAATGAGTTGTGAAGCAGAAGAGACCTTGAAAAAGATAAAACAGGACAAGTAGAAAAGTAGTTACTTCTGGAATGTTTTGAAGATGAGATAATGCTAATTACTGATAGTGGTGTGCTTTCAACTTTTATGAGTAGATATTCTGATTAACCCTCTGATTTAGGTTGGGAGAGATGCTGCTATTCATGTTTGGGACACACAGACACTGAAGTGTTTATCGTTGCTCAAAGGCCAGCATCAAAGAGGAGTGTGTGCGCTGGATTTTTCAGGTACATTTCTTGAAATTATTAATTAAAAAGCAATCCTCATGATAAAATTTTAATTTGAATAGCTATGACAGTTAGTTTTCTTCTTTGTGTAAAAGGGTAAAAGGACCATTTTGCAACCAATACAAATTTTATATAGAAGCCTGCTAATAGTTTTGATAAATAAATTTTGTGTGGTAAAGTTAGTCATGGGGCTTTTTCTCAATCAATCATTAACTGATTTTTTGATGTCTAATTCATATTACCAAGTGTACAGCTAGGACTTAAATGGCTGTATACATGTTGGCATAACAATTTAAAAGCAGACAGATCGATCACTTGAAATGAGGTGGCGTTATGATCGATAGGATCATACAATTCTTCTAATTTGCTAATCATGTCCACATTTTTCAGTGAGTTTACAGAAGTAAATATGAACAGTTGTCTGCTCTTTCTCATAGTTGCCTTTCTGAGACTGATGACCTAAGTTGTCTCAGTTATCAAAGGATAATTCCTATATTTAGCATTGAAAAACATCACCCATATGGTGGTGATATACATACATGCGTGTCTTTAGAAAAGTGCTTACAAACCTATTCCCCCTTTTGCTCTTTAAGTAAAAGGACGTTTTGTTTTTTAAAAGTAGAGTGGATAGTTTCCCATGCTGCGTGTCATGCCATTGAAGGTGCAGTGGTCCAACACTTGTAACATTACACAGTAAGAGAAAACACTATATATCATAGTAGGGCAAAGCTAAAAACGTTAGATGAATAGATTTCATACCTGTTTGTCCATCAATATATTCTTCATATATGAAAGACAGAGAGAGAAAGGAATGCTAGTCTTGGAGTACCGGTCTGCTCTTTGGTCTGCTCTTTCCTGCTTTCAGTCTTGCTAAGAGTCTCAATTCCAGTCTCAAAAGTGACTTGGACACTTACATGAACCTAACTCCCTTCTGAAAATAGCACAGAAGTTTTTTTTTGTTTTTTTTTTTAATTATCTATAAGCACTATATTTTCACAAAAGAGTCAGATCTAGCACAGGGTTTAAGCAGTGACTGTTATGGTTCCTTTTAGCTACCTGCACATCCAAAGCTTGTAGAGAGTGCTTGTATAGTACTTCAAATGCTGTGTATTATCAGATAAAATCTTTATGTATAATTCATGAAACTGTGTCTAATTTGTGCATGCTGCTGAACAGGAATAGGTTCTAAATTGCTCAGTTTGACAAGAGTGTGGCTTGTCTGGGATTGCATGTAGATACAACCATCGTCACTTCAGTATTCTCAAACTTGGAAAGGAAAGGAAAAGAAAGGACAAGAAAAACAGGGCATTTTGGTTCTCTGTGGCAAAGCAGCCATGTAAGAAAATTTAAGATTGCAATCTTGGAATTAAGTAGAATTCTAAAATTCTACTTCAGTTCACTTCATGTGCTCAATTCCTCTCATGGACCTGGCCCTTAGTGCAGTATATCCAGTTTGCCTTTAGACTAAAGTCATCTTACATCAAACTATAAAGGAGATTTTAAATAAATTTTCACAGATAATGCGCCAACCCATTACTTTATCTGTTCTATCCTTTTCTTAACTCTGATTTTTGTATGGACTTCAGTTCAGCATAATCTGTTTCATACTCTTCTCTTAGAAATGTAAGAATTCGTTATGACATAGATCACATTTATGAGACAGGAATATATGGAAGAAGTACCTTTATCCATGTACCTTTATAAAAGCATAAAGAATAGGCTGGACTCTTCTGGACATAAATTTGTACAAAAATAATAAAGCTTTTTTTAAAAGTAACAGTTGCTGGTATCATTATAGTATTGCTTTAGGACCTGATCCTGAGAAAGCATATATTGAAACATAGAGCCTCACCATTTCCTAACTGGCTTTAGTTAATCTTCTTGACACTGAGAGGAACAAATGGTTGCACAAATGTGTACCTCATAACAGGACTGGAGTGCTAGTTTGACTCAGTTAAGGCAGTTTTTGTTGTGTTAGTAAGATATTTCCAAGTTAGTTTCAGGTCACACTACTTGAAGCTTAAAAAAAGAAGTCCTAGATTCCAAAGGTAGGTTGTTTCTGGCTGTAGTTGATCTGGTGGCTGACTCTATACTACTAGTTCTCTTTGCCCTTACTCACTTTGTAAAGCACATACTATTGGTTAGAGTACAGAGATGGATCACTTTGTAGGACTATTCTGATGATCTCACTATTTTAATATTATAATTGTATTCATGCAGTGTTTGATTGTGCCCCCTGGTGGCAAATTTAACGTCTATAATATTGGATATTAATCAGAATGTATAGCCCATATTAATACATCAAGCCTCATGGTTCAAGTGGGTAAAGTTAAAGTTGTATTCTTACCACAAATGTTTTGTCAGCCATTTTCCCTTCACATAATTGTTACCCTTAAAAATAATTATTGTCATTGAAATATACAAATGTATCTATTCTTAGAGAAAAAGTACGTATTACTGCAAATTTACCTTACATATCAGATATCTTCATAGCATTCTATCTCACTAAAGCTTCTATAGAATGGTTTTACTGTTCCCTTTACTTTCATTTCTTTTCACATTAACTTTTTGTGTCTTCTTGCTTGTATCTTTATTTTCATTATTTGTTTTATAAACTCAGTTTTGTTTTCCTGTCCTGTCCTGTCTTTTATCTTCATTCCTTCCTGCCTACTTAGACTCCATCCTTCTAGGTCCATTTCATTCAATTGTGAACTCTGTAATTTCCCTTCTCCTTCTTGGCTTGCTTCTCATAGAACTCAGTCATGTAAGATGCTAAATACTGTGAGCTCAGTCCAGATATGAGGATCTGCTCAGCCTAATAGAGTCATTTGTGCCAGTCAAATGTTTTCTATTCTTTAAGTTAAATATGCTTAATGACAGAGTATTCAGCATCTGTTACTTTCTGGAAGAAGTAACGTTGTCAAATAATTGCTTTCATTCTCTCTTTCGGCCTTTTGGCCATCTCACCAGCTCTCTACTTCCTCCAACTTGATTTTTTCTTCAGTAAAAAAAAAATCATGCGATCAGCTCCTGCTGCAGCCTGAAAATCATGTTATTACATAATTCAACAATTAGGTTTATTTATTTATTTATTTATTTTAGTTTAATGAAAGTATTTTGCTCTAAAATTTTGTTAACAATGGTATTGTTTATCATCATTTCATACATATAGCAAGGATACCTAGGTACTTTTGAATTATGTTTGAAATTCTCTACTCTCATCTCTCATTCGGGCTGTTTCTTATGATGTTAACTAGCCGTTAATTCTAGCCTTACAAATTTTCATCATATTTATAGTTTCATTACATTTCCTATTAACTTGTAGCCATCCATGTCATTATACCACAATAATAATTCTTGGCATCATTTCAAGTAAAATAAAAGAATGATCATCTCAGCAGAAATATTTCAAACACAACATGATTTTGGAGTACTTGGACTTTATGAAATTGATTTTCATTGTTTTGTTTGATCAAATATATACAGGAGAGTTTTCTGCCTGCCTTTGGGAAGGATTCATTTTTCAATAAGGATGCCTTTTCTATAAAATAACAGCTGTCTGTTAATCATCCAGTTAAAAAATTGAGCAGGAAAATATAGTTGTGATTTAGAGCACAACCTTTTCTGTCTGAAAAGTGAGATACTGTATTTGAAGCCACTTTAGTTAAAAAGAGGAAGATTAGGTCATGGATTAAGAGAGTTTTCTGTGAAATCTGTGGATTTCAGTCTGATAAGTCATCACCTACTAGGTACACTTTTGGGGGCAAAGTATTACAACGTGAGTCCACCACTCAAATGAAGTTTGCAGCAGGTATAGACCAGTCATATGAAGAGTTTTGGCAGGTTGACTGTCTTTCTGTTTTCAGTTCTACAATTCTATTTGTAGCCTACTTTAGGAACTCAAGGCCATCAGTGAATCTGAATCCTAATATGTCAACCTATTACTTCCTTTTTTTATTCTTTATTTTCAGCTTTTGTGTCTCATCAAGAGAATAAGTAGATGCCTCCCTCTAAGCATCTGTCTCTGCATGTGTCTCAAATACCCTCTGCACAGTATAAATACACCTTTTTGGCATTCACCACCCTCAGTCCCCTCCATCACACACTGTAGGTGAAGAATAACTTTTGGGGGTATTGGTCCTATATGTCTCTTTCACATTCTAAAATACCAATGTATATAGCATGTTTGTTGTGTTCGTTGCTTGCTGTATTTTCACTTAAAACCTTAGCACCTTTAACATTAAGTGTTGCTTTTGTACAGCTGATGGAAAATGTTTGGCATCTGTTGGGCTTGATGATAATCATGCCATTGTGTTTTGGGACTGGAAAAAAGGAGAAAAGCTAGCAACAACCAGGTAAGAATGGATCTCAGTGTAAATGTGCACTGTAGTTACAGTTTTCTGAGTACTATTATCCACATGTATTACTTTATAGGAAAAAAAAAAAAAGAGAACACCTCTCTGAAAACAGAATGGTATTTTAGAGCAATAAATCCATCTAGATTGAAACACTTGGGATCTACAGTATAGTATTTGGAAATCCTGTGGACTATTGTCATGGGAATCATCCCACCAGGTTTCCATGTAGTTGATGGCAACTACATCATAGTTTCCTACTAGCATGGTGGCTTCCAGCTCCTCCTGTTTGTTATCCATACTGCATGCATTAGTGTAAATTCACCTCAGCTGGGCCACCTTTTGGGAGGGAGAAGCCCTAATATCCTCTTGACCATACTCAGGTGTTTCCTCACAGAGATCATAAAATAATCGTTTATGTTCTAAAGAATTCCAATTTAAATTAGTATTTATATTTTAGCAGTCCCTACAGGCAATTCCCATATTCTGGAAAGCACAGTAGGACATATAAAAGAGAGAGACAAAAACCAAGACAGGAGAGTTTACATCTAAGTTTTAGACTTAAGCCTCACATACCCTTAGCAGGCAAGAAGAATAGAAGGATGTCTCCTTACAGTCATACAGACCCACAAGAAGAATTCATGTAAAGGACTAAACCTGAAAAACTAAGTGTGTGTTCACTGTTTACAAACATTCATTATGTTTATTATATACTTATTTGCATTCTTTTTCCTTGATTTTCTTAGTGTGATTTACTTCTGCATGACTTCCCAGTTTTCTTTGCTTGAGACAATGTTCACAGTATATGCCCGTTTATTTGTTTTAATTGCTCGCTAGCTTGTTTCCCTATCTATATATCTTGGGTTTACAATCTTCTGTCTAGTTTCATTAAAATCCTTATTGAGTAAGTGTACCCTATTAGTGAAAGAAGCTCAGATATGTTTTGATTCTATCTTATCGTGCCTTATATGCTGCTGCAGTGCTGGTCCTATTTGATCATAGTGTTTTGTGTTAGCAGAATCCCTAAGGGAGCTGAGGAGGGCATTGTCAAATTTATTTAGGGTCTAAATCAGTGAATCACATGCTCTCCTACTTTCTTCATTCTGTAAGAGCAAATGTCCTTTGTCAGTCCCTTGGAACACAAGGGCACAAAAACTACACAGCCTTGGATACTTGGTTTGGTCTGACCATTGCGGGAAATTGAGCTGCAAATGTAGGCCATACAACCCAGGTCTCATGTGCCTGCAATATTCATCCTATTGCATGGGCAGACACACTCTGGTCATTTTGCAGGCGACTTCTGCACTGGGATGCAATTACTTTGATTTTGGACATTTTGCCTGCATGATAGATGCTTCTGTAAGAGGCATTATGACCTGCCTGAGCTGAAAGGCATCATTATAGCAAAGTAGAGAACCAGGAGAAGGAGGAATTGCAAGAAATTGTACTTCAAATGTCAAAGGAGTAAAGGGCTGGCTTTTGTCTAGACTGACTCAGAAAAAGAAAATATTCAAAACAAGAAGGTTATCAGAGTTGTGGGTTGTTTTGTTTTTTTTTTTGGCTAAACCTGTCTGACAAAAATCACATATATTATGATCAAAACGTGAAAATTCAGGCTGAAAAACTAGTAATTTTTGCTCTTGGTGTTTTATAAAATACTGAAATAGAAATAATTACTGAATTGTATCTGGGAATATTTTCGTAATGGTAAAACTTAATCTTGCAGATTTCCATAAGCATATATCCCAGCAAGGATAACGTTATCCAAGAACTAAATTTGAAGGTGTATATGCTACTGAATGAACTGTGTTCTAAATTATAATTTTATAATTTAATTTTCCTTTGGAAGCACAGTAGTTTTGAGACTTCTTTGCTTTTTTTTTTTTTTTGATAAACTATTTTAAAGATTTATAAACTGAGTTCTTATCCATTTAATTATTTATGATGCCCTTTATACCTTCTCTTAATTGCATTGACCTTTGTTGCCTGCCTCTTCATCATGACTTAACTGAAATTCAGTGGGAGACAATTTTTATTCACCATATTTCTGTAGTCTAATTCATACGTGTTTTATACTCAGGTACATTCTGATAGCTCTGTTGGTCAGACTCCCAAGGCTAAACTCTTGCGGATTCAAAATATGGCTCTGTACTTTTTGTTTGATAGGGTGTAATGATGGCAGAGAGAATGTAGACAGCCTCTGTGACTCATCTGCCAGACCTCATAGTGTTACAGATCCATACTCTTGTTTTTGTGCCACAAGTATGACAGCTGTGTTGATTACATTCTTATTGCTAAAGACTGTTTTTGGTTAGTCTGATACTATGAAATGCTTATTTAAAACAGATCAGTTTGAAATGTTAAGTAATACCTTGCTATGCTTTTTATTTTATTTTTATTTTTATTGCAGGGGTCATAAAGATAAAATATTTGTAGTGAAGTGTAATCCACATCATGTAGACAAATTAGTCACGGTTGGGATGAAGCACATCAAGTTTTGGCAGCAAACAGGTATCATATTGAATGTTTTCAATGTAATTGATTTGAGGATGTATATCTCCTTCATACAGGGACATCATGTTCTCAGTTTAATAATATTTTTATTTATAAAGGATTTTTCTAGTTACCAAAATACTAGAGGTGTCAAAACCTACCTCTGATTATGTAAATGTCACAATATTCTTTTCTCATTGGAAGTAATTTCCAGCTAATTGTTTTTTAACTGTAGTCATGGTATTAAGGATTTCTCCTGAATAAACATCCTTGGCTCACAGAAAACACGTAGTCCCTTCATTTACTCAGGCAGTATATGGCCCTGACTGTGAAAATGCCAGCTGGTAACTAAGAATCTCAAATGCCTTTGGTGCACTTCAGATACTGATGGAACGCTCCAGCAGTCATTCAACTTCAGGATAGACCTGCACCTGTTTTTCAGTCTTCAGAAATGTCTTCCAGATATGGAAGCACAGGTTGCAAGGTGCCAGGCTGGAAAGGTAACTTGTGAGGACAGACCTTAAAATACTTGCCTGGGCAAAACAAAAAATAGATAAACAGGTACTGTGCAGAAGTTGTTATAGAAATTTAGATTTTATCCATTAGGCTAAGAATCACGATGTGGTATTGCAAGAATCATGATGTCAAGATAATACAATTTTTGTAAGATGCAAGAATTTTGTTTCTATTCATAAAAAATGAAAAGCAAAAATGTTTTTCATTCTTTAAAAACAGATTCTGTTTCTGACTAAGGATATTTTTTATTCAGGACGGAATTTTTGTTCTTCACGACTATTAATCATATACACACAACATGAGTAATGGGTAAAAAGGTCTTAGAGAACATCTTCACTGTGTAAAATTCAGCACAGGTAGGCAGCACAAGGGCAGCTAAAAATAGAACTCAAGACAATGAATAATTAGATAGTTTTAAGAAGTTCCTAGGCTTACACCATAACTTAAGGGATTCAAGTTGTACTGGTGCCCTCAGAATAAAATTTACTCTTTTTTTTCTGCATTTTTTTTAGAGCTAGGGTGTTTTTGTAGTAATGACATATACTTCATTACTGTTTGCCAAATTGTATTACATTCATTTGCATTAAGCAGTTTTTTACTCCAAGAATCATCTCTTTGCAATAAAAAGAATATATTTTGAAATTAGATTTGCTTAATAGAATTGACTGAAGCAAGGACACTGCTGCATATATTATTTTATAATTGGTAAATTTATTTCTGTCTATATGCACCTAATTCATGGGTGCACATGACTCCTTCCTACTTTCTGAACCAAAGTAAAGTACGTGGCAGTGGCAAAGTTAGGCTCTCTGGCAATCAGAAGAGGAATAAATCCTGTCATTCATTCTGCAAAGCTGCCTTCAAATTGTCGGGTGGCCAGTGGTCAACTAAAGCAAACCTCTATCCTTTGTGTTGTTGCGGTCACCTCTGAAGAGAAAAAGGGAGTTTGGCATGCTGTTCTGTGTGAAAAGTGTTTTGCCTGCCATTGTGTTATTTCTTCTATACAATTCCTCACCAAAATTTATCATTTTCATGGAAGTAACAAGAATACAGGGTGTACTGCTTCAAAACTGTCATTACTAGATTGATTTTTCCTTTAATGTGTTTTTCCCTTGTACACTAGTTTTCAGTGTTTCTGTTATCTACTATGTCTTAGGCAGTCACAAGAAATGATGAGGTCAAGACATTTGTCCTTTACAGCACTATGATTACAAAAGTATAAAAGGACTTTCATATGTTTATATTGCAGGTGGAGGCTTTACATCAAAACGAGGAACATTTGGAAGTACTGGAAAATTGGAAACTATGATGAGCGTTTCATATGGGCGAATAGAAGATTTAGTTTTCTCTGGTGCTGCTACTGGAGACATTTTCATCTGGAAGGATACGCTGTTGCTTAAGACAGTGAAAGCTCATGACGGGCCTGTATTTGCAATGCATGCGTTGGATAAGGTATTTGTCTTCTTTTGTGATCTATTCATCTTTATTATTTTTATTTCTATATGTACTATCAGTGTGTCTTAGGCAAGCAAGACTTTAAGTATCCAAAGGTTTTGTTTTCCTGAGTTGTTATTCCAGATAGCAGAAGTATTTTTCTTCTGATGCTTCAATAAATCTTTAAGAGAAACTGTGGCAAAATATATCATTGATATTACATACATGAGGCTTTCTCTGAAGACTGAGGCTAGGTTTTACTGCTGGAAATCCACTGGCAATTTGAAGATGTTGATAATGGAATATCCTTTCTCGGATTACCATTTCAGCTCTAAAATTCTAGCATGAGAAGAATAATAATTAGCTATAAACATTGTTATGTGTTAAAAGGCAGTTAAGATCCCTCCAGCTTAGTCCTTTCTGGCCCTACTTGATTGCTGCTAGTTTTTCCATCAATTTTTTTCTCTGATCGTGGTACTTTATCCTCTGAACATCCTCTTCACTTATGTTTGTGTTGGTTAGTGATTTACGCTGTGTTTTGCACTTGGTACAGATGAAGAGAATCTACCAAGGGAATTGATCAAAGAATCAGTCGCTATTCATTATTAGAACAGTTTGAAACATCAGTGAAGTCTGTTGAGTTTGCAATAACTTGAGAAGCTAGTATTATCATCTACTGCTTTTTCTAAGGATGAAGCACATAGCTTACGTTCCCATGCAGAAAAATGTTATGGACAAGCATTGCATTGCTGTTTACAGTACTATGCACTCTGTGTGGTTATCAACCTTTACAGGATAGAACCCTAGAAAAGCATCTTAAAAAATAAAAGCATCATTCTCCTCTGAAATGGTTTCTTCATAAGAAACCATTCAAGAACCATAAGGCTTCAGAAGTTTGAATTGGACAAATTCCAAGCACACAGGAGAATTTACGCTATATTTGGGCGTATGTTAATATGAGAGTGCTGATGTTTATAAATGTTTTTTGTACTGTGATCATACAGGGGTTTGTAACTGGTGGAAAAGATGGAATTGTGGCACTTTGGGATGATATGTTTGAAAGATGTCTGAAGACGTATGCTATTAAAAGAGCAGCGCTATCTTCTAGTTCCAAAGGTATTATTTTTCAGTGTGTTTAATAAGGACTACATGCGTGAAGGCTAGTAAAATGGCAGTAGTAGATGCCAAATCTTACCAGAACACAAAGGAAATATTACTAAACTACTTACTACTGTGTGCTGGATTTTTTCTATTTTGGTTGAAATAACTTGTATTTCACCCAGTCATTGTCGTTTTATATTTTATTCTGCTATTTCTTCCTCTATTCCCTGACATATGGCTTTGTTTTCACCAAAGAAATTATTTTAAAAAGAAATATCACAAACATGAGTTTGACTGTTTGAAAATCTGTTCTGCATTTAGCAACTCGCTTCCTCAAGTGGACAGGTTTCACATAGTAGGACTGGGGTCCTGATAAGTTGGAAAGACCTGTTAAATTGTACTTCCCCAGGCATCAGTGTGTAAAGTGGTATTCACAGACAATCACAGAAATAATGTCTATGTTGCTGCAGCATCTAAACCCCTTGTACACAGTCATTGTTAAATCAGTAAAATGTCTTTACAAGGCCACAATATAGACTAGCACAAGCTCCTCTCCTTCAAACTATTAATTAAATCCATTAGGTAAATGTACCTCATATTTCATGGTTGATTTTAAGCAGGTTTTAAGCTGTATAAACTTCAGATGAGATGAGGCTCTTCTTGGTTTCACAAGAAAAACCTAAAATGAACGTCCTTTTATTCTTCAGGTTTACTTTTAGAAGACAATCCCTCTATTCGAGCCATCAGTCTAGGACATGGACATATACTAGTGGGAACTAAAAATGGAGAGATACTTGAAATTGATAAAAGTGGTCCTATGACTCTACTGGTTCAGGTACAATATGGATCTTCCTTCAAAACAGTCCCTGTAGAAGTACAAGACATTATTGGATTCCCCCATTCATTTGCTTTGTTTTCATTAATTCTGTTGGCCGTAGTTCCTTTCCTTGCCCAGACAGAAGTTGATGCTTTCTTATGTAAATGACTTTGAGATTCACTGTGGATTACAGAATTCTGAAGCGAAAACCGAGAGTCCATTAAGTTCAAATGCTTATGAGACTTTTAATGGATGATTTAGGCTTTTCAGTTCAGGACCCAATATAAAAATGAAAAATGAAGAGCAGAGCTAACACAATATATTTTTTTATTTTGACAGTATGGATCCATTTATTTGCTTTTATTGGAATAATATAGTGTATTCTGAAAGATCCTATATTTGTGAAAAAATGTTTTAGACTTCTAACATCTTTCTACAGTGACATGCACTTGTCATTGCATGTCTTTTAAAGTATAGAAATATCTTTTTGCAAGACAAAGGATTTGGGGAAGTTATAAATTCTGGATGTGCATGTGCCCACTGATATATCTAACGTTGCTTTGGTTTAGTCTCTTTAATAAGCATGCTATCTATATGTAGAAAATTGCATGTATCATTTACTAAATCATAATTTGTTTTTACTTTTTGTTTTCTGTAGCTAAATAAATTGTTTTTTACAAAAAATGTTTCTTATCTTTGATATTTTTCTTTCCAGCTTGTTCTGATCACATAAAGTAATCTTCCAGATTTATACTGGTTGCATGACAGCATTAGTAACCTAAAAGTGAGAAGTTTTATTTTATAAATTATTTTAAACTAGTACAGTAATTGCAATTCAAAATCTCATCCTAATATAGTTCCCTTCACGTGAATAGTAAGGGCATATGTGATAGTAAAGGTAAAAATATAGTAAGGGAGATCTGATAGTAAAATTACCTCAAAATTACCTCTTTGCTGTGAGTTTTATGATAAAGGGAAGTTTTATAATTGTCATCCAGACTAAATTACATGCTCTCATGCATCAACTTGAGCAGAAGTATAAAATACATAGGATGTAATCAAGAGACCATGACACTTCCTTCCTTTTTTGTTTTAATGGTATTTTTCTATCTCAATAAAAAAGCTAGTTACCAAGCTGAAATTCAGACTGAGAACAGTGAGAAATGATTTAATCTTTAAATGCTGTGCCAGCGAGTTGTATGTAACTTGAAGGAAATCTACAGAATGCAGGAAGAGTGGTTAAAACGTTTCAGTGAGTTCTGAGGAAAAATTAAAAGAACAAAGTTTGTGTACATTGGCCAGAGAAGTTCTAAAAAAATTACATAAACCTTGTAGACAGATCATCCTGAAATCCTGAAATGGGCTAAAGTCCTGTCTTGGGCTTAACTATTTCCTGTTCAGTTCAAGTCTGGAAGAGGGAGCATTGGTATAACAGGAATTGCAGCTATCAGTAGTGAAGGAAACTAATATTTCAGGTGGTTATTAGAGGAACCAGACCGGACATTCAGGTCTCTTTGAATTTGGAAAATGTATGAAAGGAGATGGTGAAGACCTTATTGTCTGAGACTTGTAAAGGGAGATAAATCAAGTGCTAGAACACGTTACATAAACACAAATGGATTACTTCCTTATATTAAATGTTTTCCTCTAGGGACATATGGAAGGAGAAGTCTGGGGCTTGGCAGCTCATCCTCTCTTGCCTGTCTGTGCAACAGTGAGTGATGATAAAACGCTTCGAATCTGGGAACTTTCTTCCCAGCACCGCATGCTGGCAGTGAGGAAACTCAAAAAAGGTAAGCTTCATTTGGTCACATACTGTGATAATAATGACACTTTCTGTGACATCTCCATCTTTGTTCTCAGTGCACATCACAAACATTAATGAGGTAGGAAGAGGACATAATCATCAAAAAATAGGATGTAAATTGTCCTTGGCCTGTGTCCAGTCTATGACAAGTGTAGAAAGAAAAAGGGTTATAATCCATTGTAATGAATAATAATAAAATTAATTTTAATCTGTTTCACTCTTATTCCAAGGGGGAATGATTTGACCTCAGAATCATTTTCCTTCCTAAGAATACTTAAAGCCAGCACATTTGCTGACATTAAAAAGTTTCCTTATAAAGACAAATACAAAATTTTTTGCGTGTTAAGCACAATCAGTCTTCAGTGACAATATGAACTTTATGTGTTATTACTAGCTTCTCTGAAAATGAACAGTTGTCCTGCCCTCTCTTCTGCATAAAAGTAGATGAGGTGTTTTGAAATGCTGCCTTACTCTCATTTCATTTACTCAATTCATAACCTTCAGGAAATTTTATGCTGTAAATTCAATGTGCTCCTTTCTTGGTGACAGATCCAGAGCAGAGGAATTTTAACTAGCTGAGGGAAAACAAAGTTGAATGTTTTGGAAAGGGGATCTGAGGGGTGGATGAGGATGGCTGTATAAGATTTGTATGCTCAAAAATAATGTTTGGTAGAAAAAGTAAGTGAAGAAAATGTAGTACATCTCTGTTTTAAATGTGTTCCACCTGCGTGCATAACTATTATTCAATCATGAAATAAAGAAGCTTCCAAGTGTTGCATCTCTGAAAGACTTATAATTATGTTACCTGCAATGAGTCTTTGAATTTTTTATCTGAATTTCCTTTCTGTATGTTTTCTTTATATATTTATATAATTGATGTGTTTAGAATGAAATGAGGTATTTGCAACTAAACCGATTTCTGGACTGATGAAATCACCGTTGTCAACTCAGGAACAGCCTGTACAAGGGTGTACATTACCATTTAGTAAAATGTTAATCATAGTTCTCCTATCACATGATAAACTTGTTTTAATAAATAACAAACACATTTTAAAAGCATATACTTGATGCAGAAAACCTTTCACTTACAATTTGTGATAGGTTTCTCAATCACAAATTCAAAAGCCTTTAGATACTCCTTTTCGTTTTCCTTGATAGGTGGACGATGCTGTGCCTTTTCTCCTGATGGGAAAGCCTTGGCTGTAGGATTGAATGATGGGAGTTTTCTGGTGGTAAATGCTGACACTGTTGAAGATATGGTATCTTTTCACCACAGAAAGGAAATGATCTCAGATATAAAGTTTTCACGAGGTATAATTAGATAGCAAAGTGAAAGGGCAGTGTTTATCTTGGAGTTTGTTTTTCTACTCTAGACATAAGTTTGAATGTTCAGAAAGTAGATTGACTTTTTGTGTGCTTCATGTCTTTAAATACTTTACAATTCTGTATAGTTGTATGTAGCCTTGCATAATGGGGTCCACCCCTGCTTGGGGCTTTGGGTCAACTGCAGTAATAAAAATGCATAGCAATAATAATTATAACATGTATGCCCTTCATAACCTCAATGTCTCTTCTTTACAGAATCAGGAAAATACCTGGCTGTGGCTTCCCATGATAATTTTGTGGATATTTACAATGTGCTTACCAGCAAAAGAGTTGGCATTTGTAAAGGTGCATCTAGCTATATCACACACATTGACTGGGATTCAAGAGGTAAAATGTTTCACCAGAGATTCAGTTTTAAAAGTTCTTGCAAGAGGGAATATCGGAATTGCCATCAGGGAGTGTGAGCAGGAGATAGACTGGTGGAGCAACTCCCTGCAAGGCCTGAAGGAAAGGCAGCAGGGTGAGACACCCAAGTGGTGGACCTTCAGCCCTGTCACTCTTGAGCGGAGGGAGTGGGACCTAGGAGATAAACAAAAATGGAAGCAGGTCCCTGCTCGGCATCACAGGCAACCCCGCTCCCTACCGGCCTTGCCTTCCCAGGTGCCCTTACACAACAGGTTTGAGGCCTTGGAGCTTGAGAGACTGGTGGGTGAGGATGAGGTCAAAAGTCTACCCAGGAGGATGCCTAGGGAGAGGAAGTTGACTCCATGCCTCAAGATTGCCTCCACTAGGAAAGAAAGAAGGGTGATTGTTGTATGTGACACACTTCTCAGGGGAACAGAGGGCCCTATACGTCAGCCTGACCCTACCTGTAGGGAAGTTTGCTGCCTCCCTAGCGCCAGGGTCAGACACATTGCCAGAAACGGGCCCCCATAGCTGGGCCCAAAGAGTCGCGGTGAATGGAGTTAAATCCAGTTGTAGGCCAGTCACTAGTGGCGTTCCCCAGGGCTCGGTACTGGGGCCCGTCCTCTTTAATATCTTAATCGATGATCTGGATGAGGGGATCAAGTGCACCCTCAGTAAGTTCGCAGATGACACCAAGTTGGGTGCGTGTGTCGATCTGCTCGAGGGTAGGAGGGCTCTGCAGGAGGATCTGGATAGGCTGCACCTGATGGGCTGAGGCCAACTGCATGAAGTTCAGCGAGGACCAGGTGCCGGGTCCTGCACCTGGGGTGCAATAACCCCAAGTAGAGCTACAGGCTGGGAGAGGAGTGGTTGGAGAGCTGCCAGGCAGAGAAGGACCTGGGAGTGATGGTGGACAGTTGGCTGAATATGAGCCAGCAGTGTGCTCAGGTGGCCAAGAAGGCCAACGGCATCCTGGCTTGTATCAGAAGCAGTGTGACCAGCAGGGCTAGGGAGGTGATCGTCCCCCTGTACTCGGCTCTGGTGAGGCCGCACCTTGAGTACTGTGTTCAGTTTTGGGCCCCTCGCTACAAGAAGGACACGAAGATGCTCGAGCGAGTTCAGAGAAGGGCAACAAAGCTGGTGAGGGGTCTGGAGAACAAGTCCTATGAGGAGCAGCTGAGGGAGCTGGGGTTGTTGGAAAACAAACAGCTTGGAAAAGAGGAGGCTTAAGGGTGACCTTATTTGCTCTCTAGAGGTACCTTAAAGGAGGCTGTAGAGAGGTGGGGGTTGGCCTGTTCTCCCACGTGCCTGGTGACAGGACGAGGGGGAACGGGCTAAAGTTGCGCCAGGGGAGGTTTAGGTTGGATGTTAGGAAGAACTTCTTTACTGAGAGGGTTGTGAGGCATGGGAACGGGCTGCCCAGGGAAGTGGTGGAGTCACCATCCCTGGAGGTCTTTAAAAGACGTTTAGATGTAGAGCTCAGTGATATGGTTTAGTGGAGGACTTGTTAGTGTTAGGTCAGAGGTTGGACTGGGTGATCTTGGAGGTGTCTTCCAACCTAGGTGATTCTGTGGTAACCATTCTTGTACCAGTTACTAAAACAAACTGTAACTATTAAGGCAAATACTTTATCAACATCAAACACTGTATGGGTTCAGTGCAATTACGTTTGCTGAGGGAATTCATCCTCACTTCTAGCACTTGTGCCAGAGTACAAGGTAATTCACTAATAACAACATATGACTAAACTGTCACTTACGAACATAATACTGCTTTTCTTTGTCCTGCTCTTCTGTAATTTTGTACTGTGTGGCCCTTTTTTTTTCCCCCACTTTTTATTTCCAATTTCTTTTCTTTGCTGAGCATTACGTGGCAATCAGTGCGATGAAATTAGAGAGCATTACTGTCACAACTAATTAAGTCTAACAGGATTGATAATGAGCTCATGCAAATAAGCCTTCCTGAACTTAATATGATTCTGTTCAAAACCACCTGTGAGTCTGAGTCCTACTTCCCCTGTTAACACTAGTGTTGTGGAAGTTCACTGACAATGACAGGAGCTAAACTCCTTTCAGAATCTATTCAGATCTCTTTTTTTTTGGTGAAAATAAACGTATATAAATACAGAGAGTAAATTTGAAAGCAATTTGTGCTTCTTCATGTACAAATGCTGCTAGCGTACTATCAGTCACATGCAAGATTATCTTCGTGTTATGACAATATCTGTGTGGGTCTGGTAAACTTCATATTAAAGGTCATTTTCTTGTGTAGCTGGACTACATACTAGTTAGGCAGAGCAAAATAGATAAGAGTCTAAAACATTTTACACTTTTGGCAGAACTGGCTTATAAAATTTTTATGAAAATTAATAGTTGCGCATTTTTTTTAATTCCCACTGTTCTGATGATAAAAACATAAATGAAGTGTTTCTTCTCAAAAGATAGCCATTTGCTGCAAGACTAATTTCTCAAGATTGTTGGATGGTATTTAAAACTCTGTCTCTGCAGTGAAATCGAGAGTGTAGAATTCTTACAAGAGTGATTCTAAGTGTCTGTCTTTACTTTTGCTATGAATAACTCTCTGGAGGATAATTTGTTTGCTTACTTCCAGAAACTTCTTCGTTCAGTAAAAAGAAAGTTCATAATACTCATAATAATGAATAAGATTCACAATAAATTCTTATTTCATATCCAGGAAAGCTATTGCAAGTCAATTCTGGTGCCAAGGAACAACTATTTTTTGAAGCACCAAGAGGGAAAAGGCATATTATAAGAATTGCAGAGGTATGAATTATGCTTACTGGATTCTTTTTTATTTTTTTTATATTTTTTCTTATTGCAACAGTTACTTTTCTAGACAGTTGAAAGTTAACATATTTTGTCTTTAAAATGGGATTTTTTTCCTTTAAAAGTACTGTATTTACAGTGTTTAGAATTAGAATTACTTACTCATTCTGTAGTGTCTTTCATAGGATTTGTAAACAGTAGAATTTTAAAGTTTTTATTTGTATCTCTAAATTTTATTTTTGCTTGCTTAATAGCAGTTGTTTCCCCAAATTCTCTTTCCTGAACACTCACCTGTTTTTTATGTAATCAGTGTGCATGCAGTTTATAAACCACCTTTAAATGGTATGACCTAGCTTTCAATCCTGTTGATTATTTGTGATGCATAAATGTTCTACAAAATTGCCAATGTTTAGTGCCTCAGAAAATCTGTAAGATTTGTATCCAAATCATGTTTATCTAGGGAAAGTGAGAATGTTTAAAGCTGCTTTTAAGCCTTTTGATAAAGAAGTGTAATTTGTGCTATCTAGCTGAAAACACTGAATGCTTTCTAAAAAACATTTTAAAAATAGTTTATATCAGACACACAAAAAACATAAGCATTAAAACAGTGTGTATTGGATGTGTATTAAGATCACGTCTTTGGGTGAAATTTTGATTGCAGATAGAGAAGATTGAGTGGGACACCTGGACATGTGTTCTGGGTCCTACTTGTGAAGGAATTTGGCCTATGCACAGTGATGTCACCGTTGTAAACGCAGCAACTCTTACAAAAGATGGAACACTATTAGCTACGGGAGATGACTTCGGTTTTGTGAAGCTTTTTTCATATCCAGTAAAGGTAATGAGTGTATTTATTTCTCAGATTAGAAACTGTAGTAGAAAAGGAATTAGGGAAGGTGATGCTCATAATACACCAGACTGCTAATACACAAATTCTTTGTACTACAGGGCCAACATGCAAAATTCAAGAAGTATGTGGGTCACAGTGCACAGGTAACCAATGTTCGGTGGTTACACAATGATTCTGTGCTGCTGACTGTAGGTGGTGCTGATACAGCTTTAATGATCTGGACCAGAGAATTTTTGGGCATTCAGGAGAGTAAGCTGGTTGATAGTGAAGAATCAGACACAGATGCAGAAGAAGATGGAGGTAAAAAGGATTATATAACACACATTTTTAATGGTCTTCATTCCACAGAACTCACACAAATATTTAGCTTGAAGTGGGAAAAAAATAAATAAATCACGTGCTAAAGTTCAGTATAGGGAGAGTTTGGTAGGATTGTTTTCTTCTGTTGGTGTGGATCTTCTTTTGTAGTCTTCCACTATGAAACATTGTTAATGTGTTTTATGTTTTATTTTTCAAAGGGTATGATAGTGATGTTGCAAGAGAAAAAGCAATTGACTATACCACTAAGATATACGCAGTAAGCATCCGAGAAATGGAAGGGACAAAACCACATCAACAGCTGAAGGAAGTTTCAGTCGAAGAGAGGTATGTCACACAAAGGCATTCATTTCCAAATGTGGATTGCATTTTTTTTGAATTTCCTTTCCTTCAACTAAAACTAGTCTTTAGAAATATGACAAGAGTTTTAAAATTCGCAAGATAACATTTGAAATGCTGTTCGTAAGCTACAATATGTGTTAGTGTGATGGTAAAGGGAATATATACGTAAGTAAAACACCTGTGAGTGTTGTTTTCTTCTGTTATTCACATAAGCAGTTACTTTCTTTCCTAATTAGTGTGTGTAGCTATGCATGTGTTCAAAAGGGCATTTGTGAAAGCGTGAGCTCTTAAATACCATTTTATTGCTGTTCTTTTTGCTCAGTCAGCTAATGACAAGATGGGGGAATGATATGAAATTAAAAGAAGATTTAGATGAGGGGTTAGGAGGAAATACTTCACTCAGAGGGTGGTGAGGCACTGGAACAGGCTACGCAGAGAAGCTGCGGATGCCCCATCCCTGGAGGTATTCAAGGCCAGGTTGGACGAGGCCCTGGGCAACCTGATCTAGTGGGTGGCATCCCTGCCCATGGCAGGAAGGTTGGAAACAGGTGATCTTTAAGGTCCCTTCCAACTCAAGCCATTCTATGATTCTATAATTCTATATAGTTAAAGATTTTGGTGACATTTTCGTTAAAAGATTTTCAGTTGCTTATACTTTTGTCAGGTTAAAAGTGAAATTTCCCATGGCGCATGTTGTCCTTAGGCTGAGTTATAGTGTTAAAAAAAAAAAAAAAAAAGCTGCAAGAAGAGTAGTGAAGAGGAGAGAGGAGACAGTACAGAGAGAAGAGTTGAGCATAGAGGGTGAGGTCCAGTGAAAGAGAGATTTAGGGGAGTGAGTGAGTCAAAGCTCCAAAGCTCCAACTGGTACAGCACTGCTGGGACAGAACAGGAGGATCTATAACCAGTAAAGTACATTCTGCTTCGTAATTTGGAACTGGATCTAGGCACAGTAGGTCTGTTCAAAGTTTGCTCCATATTGAGCTATGACATTTATTGGTAATGTGGGTGTCTTACTTTCCTTTTGGCATGGAGTTTTATGGAAGTTTAGGGCCTCTGAATGATGACAGTTACAGCATGAATAAAAACCTGTACACTAAGGCTACCTGTGTGTATCCAGTTGATGACTCAAACTGTGAATCCATTAAGTTCCTTTCAATGGAATTTCTTTTTAAAAGTGGTTAATGTTCTTTTCTGTTATGAATTTTCTTGCTTTTGTCTAATGTTGGGACAGAAAAGAGTTAATAATTTTGCACTCAGTGTTTGAATAATTTGAGAACAAATGTTGGGTCTGGAAGATGAGGTGAGAAATGTTGCCCCCTCTTTTATTTTCTTCATTGTGACATTTTAACAAAGACATATAGTAGGACATCTAATGCCTTTTTCAATAAATGTTGGTCCATAACCATTTCTTTCCCTTCTTTTAAAAACATTTCTTTCTTTTTTCTCATTTACTCATATAGTCTTTGTTCCTTCACTTTTTTCTGTAAAAAAAAAAAAAAAAATATATATATATATTATCTACCACATTATCTACATCTATCTATTTTGAGATTGAGCTTAAAAATGATTTTTTTTTTTTGAGGGGGGAGAGTACTGCTAAATTGTTATTACACATGAAATAACAAGTGCCACTGATAGGATGGCCAGATGTTTTACACCAGAAACCTTTGTACCTTGCAGCTGCTTTATTCTGCTTTGATGATGCAAAAGCAAATGTAGAATGAGTTAAATTGACCAATTAAGCCAGGCTTACAATTGTTTTGTACTGGTGAGTTATCTACAATATGAATATAAGCATTATTTTTTTTTCATATTAGGACAAAAAATCATAACCCTTAAAAAGTTTTCCTGCTCTGAGACCTGGCTGTGGGCCTGCTATCTGATGCAGGCAAGTACCCTGCTTCTCAGAGGAGTAGCTCAGTGTGTTACAAACACTTCAGGCTTCCTAAATTTTGAGTCTGTCTGCTTTCACAGTCTAAGCTGATTCAGCTGAACATGCTTCATTGCTGTGGAGGAGGGCACACCCTGAAACAAACAGGCAGTTTGCCTTTTTCAATCTTCTTAACAAAACATATAGTAAAGTAGCACATGATGAGACAAATGAAACAGGCTCATGTTTATCACACTGATAATCCATAATGCAAGGAAAATGTGCTTCATTGTATCCAAAACCACAAACCAACACCTAAGCAGGAAGCTGCCCTAGTATGACCAAGTGTTTCCACACTGCCCACTCTTGCTTATAGCTGGTGGGCCTAATTAAATGGGTAGACACCGCCTCTACAGTGAGATTGCCTTCGATTTCCGTAATGACTGTACACAAAAATACTGTAGCCTGTTTGAAGGAATAATCAATCCCATAAACTCTGGACTGAAGAGAGCAAGAAGGTAGCTTTAAATGTTCTCTGTATTTTTTTCTTTGTACTATTGCTATATAATCAACAGTTTTGTATTTCATTTTTAAATGGCTAGAAAAAGCCCTTATTACTGTCCTTACCATGTATTCTTCTAAAGGGTCACAATTATTATTCCCATTTGTTTTGTTTTTTTTTTTTTTTAATGTACTCTTTCAGTTTCAGTTACTTTAACATAATGCCATCATCAGTATTTGGAATTTGCTGTTCTGATAAGTTCGTCAAAAGATGTCATACTTTTCATATGTAGCTGGTGAGGCAAAAATACATTTGCTTACCTTTCTTCATCTGATTCATATACATTTCTAGAATTTATGACCAAATAATTAGAAGCAGAAATTTTGTGGTGAAACACAGGCAAACTGCAGTTTCTGAGGGTGTTGTGCTGATATAAGACTTAAAGTTGTGAGAGGTGCTGGGTTTTGGATGCAGAAGGAGGAGGTTAATGTGTTGGTTACTGCAATTGTCAGACTTCAACTTTTGGCCACTGTTGTACTAATATGTGTGCAATTTATACAGAATCTTGACAGTCCCAATTATGAGTGCTTCAGGGTGAAGCTGAATTCTCTCAAAGACAGTTGAATTATTAAGCAAGTTTCATAGCTGTGCCAGATTTCATCTTTTCTGACAATACAAAAGAATGCAGCAGCTAATGAAGGATTTGTCTGACCATGTTCTAAAAGCTTCCCGAAAGCAGTTGGCTGACTTTTCTTTGTACCTACAAGGGTTTAAAGTGACAGCTGATTGAGCCAGACAAAATTAAAAGCCTACAAGTACTCAGTTGTCAGAGTCCAGGAAAAGTTCTAAATCAGCAGGTCTTCAGGACATGGAGTCTTGAAATCTCCGTGCACTGGGTTGAGTGAGATGGCAACGAGTAGTATTGAAGCCAGTTTGCAAAGCTTTACATTTTCTGCAAAGGCACTGCTGAAGTAGCCTCTCCCAGTCCCTTCAGATATGAAGAAGGGAACCAAGAGGATGTTTTCTATTCTCTTTCAGGCAGGTACGTGGGAAAACCTGGTAGTCTTGAGGGGGAAGGTTGTCTGGAGAAAATACTCCAAGTAACAAATCTTAAATCTTTCTTGATAATAGTGTCGTATGTCTGTATGAAGACCCCAAAATGAACCAAGGGTTGTGTATCTGTTGGGATTTGCATACTCTGCAAATAAATGCAACTACATGCTCTCAGATTGATAACATTATGCAAATTTTGAAAATTATGTTACAAGCTGAAAGGCCATTTAAGTTAGGAGTGAGTGAATCACAAGACCTCAAAAACTGCCAGTTTACGTCATTGCATAACGCTGCAAGATGTGTCCTCCTTGTTGTGTTTTCATTATGTGTCTGAGAAAGAAGAAGGGAAAATTGTGAGCTGTTCATAGGTATGGTGGATAGAAACACAAAATTAAACAAAGTAAGTTTAATTTAAGAAAATAAAAAAAAAAAAAAAGAAGAAGAAGAGAGAGGCAAAACGAGAGTGTTTCCAGCTCCAACTCCAAAACCAGAGGGGAGTAGCTGGAACTATAGCTTTGAGCTGCTTCTTGGGGTCAAGGACTTTAAGCTCATGCTGCTTCTTTCTTTAAATAGAAATATTTAGAAGGTGAATTGTTACCAGTTAATTCCCTGCTTATAAACACAAATAACCTTCAAATGTGATGTGATACATGTGATGTGATACATAGTAGACTGTTTTTGTGCAAGATTACTGTTTTATTTTCCTCTTTATTGTAGCTACATTTTCTTCTTTATAATAGCGAATTTTAACTTTGGGGTTTGCTAGGATAAGCTTGCAGGACTGTAACTTCATAACAAGAATGGTGTATCAGAAAAACACAAAGTACTTAGCCTCTATAGAAATAACAATCATTGTACAACTCAAGATGAGTTTGATCAAAAGAACTATATTGTGTCACCTGCCGAGCTGGAAGCGTATGGTTGAGAGCTGACACAGTGCTGAGTTGTGTAGGAAAAAGTTTACAACAATGCAACAACCACCAGCCTTCTGGAAAGGAATCAGTGATTTATGAATGACTCTCTGTAAATTAATACAAAGATTTACTCTACTGTCTTTTTGGCAAAAGAGAGGAGCCAACAGTTCTTGTCTCTGCTCTCCCCCATCATGGGGAGGAGGGTTGGAGGACAGATTTAACATAATACTTGATACAAGATAACTGTGACTTTGAGCAGCTGCTGTGCTCTCCGTTTCACTACTTAGCATGTACTCTGTGCTTAACACAATCCTGCAAAATAAACGAAATCAGTATGACATTGGCCTTCTCTAGATCTCCAGAGTGCTGGGCCCCAAAGCAAACTGGGAGGAGAAATGTCATTATTATAAAGGGCAAAAAATGACAAACTTGGAGATAATATTAAGGTGCCACCTTAGAAAAGAAAATGAGAGCTCTTTATCAAATGTACTTGTCCTGTCTTACTTGTTTATGTAAGAAAATAATAATCAGTCTGCAGATGTCTTGCACGAACGTAAAAGTTGCATGAAAATTTTTATCCGCAGGATTTTAAATTAACCGTGCTCTGGTATTTTCATGAGGAACCCAAGGTTTATTGTCCCTGTCA